CTGAGTAAAAAGGCGTCTTTCACAACATTCTGAGATAGTGAGGACGTCTTGGTAACGCACACACACACACACGCACGCGCACACACACACACACACACACACACACACACACACACACACACACACACACACACACACACACACACACACACACACACAACAGTCCATTAACAAAAGATGACAAGTATTGCTTCTTCGCACTTTTAAGAGGTTCCATTTGTCACAGAGTAATTGATAGAGTTCTGCTTTTTTTATGTGCGAGCAGGTTTTTTTTTTATTGCGAACAATTAAAGATGAAACTAAGATGAGGTTTTTGTCATTGTGGTTTAAGAGGTGACCAAATACCTCAGGGGCTCATTGATCTATCATGGGACTTTAATTACAGGTCTTGGACAAACAATCAATAGCAGGAGCTCACTCAGTATGAGACAAAGAGAATATTTAAGAGGAAAAACTTATAAAAAGATGATTGTACAGCAAAAGAATTTGGGGGTAGAGGAGGAACAGAGCAATACTGTTGTACATAATGTGGTTTGGCATTTTCTTGATTAAGCAGTAATGCTACCTTCCATGACAGATTCATAAAGAGTGGATATTTGGATATGTGGATATTTCCAAATAGAACAAAAAATGTTTTGTTGATTTATTGTACCCACAGACAGTTTTCATTTTAAAATGCGAAGGTTTTGATGTTTCTGGATCATGTCCATGGTCTCCTCTTTGCATGGTACAATTTCAAACTCCATTTGTAAAGGAAAAACTGACGATGGTTTTCTAAAGTGATTCTGAGCTCATGCTGTGATTTCCACTACAAAGTCACTACAAGCTGCCTCCATCTGGCCACAGACACAGCCTGCCTTATCCTTTTGTAGAGTTATTCATCCAGGTTCTCTGAATCTTTCAACAATATTGTTGACTGGAGTTGATGAAATCCTCGCTTTTATTTCCAATTCCACGCTGAGGGACACTATCATGAAAATGTTAAATTATTTGGTCTCGCTGTCCCACACTGACTGCATGACCAGACAATGTTCCTCTCAGTTTTCTCTTCATAGTGTGTTTTTTTATAATTCTGGTCCCAACTTTTTCAAAATGTGTCTCTTGAAACAGACTTGAATGATCATACATTTTTCCTACAATAATATTTTCTCAGTTTTTCCATTTGTCTGTTGTCCTTTAAGTATTTTCAATCAGATCTCGAGTTTCATTGATAAGCAAACTACCCAAATCTGTTTTGATCAACATTTTCCACAGAATCCCAACTGGGTCTGTAGCTTTGGTGCATAAAAATATAAAAATTTAAGGCATATTCCAGCATTTAAAACATAATCAATGACTTTTGTTTGTCTAAAATTTAAAATAACAAGGATTTGTCACAGATATCATCATGAGAATTTACATATATATTCTTGCAAAGTCAACAACTTAGTATTAAAACGTGCTTGGCAATATGTACTTATTATTCCTAACTTAACCATGTTGAGTTAAAGATGAAAAACTGTCCCCGTAGTGGTAAGGAAGTCATATTTTGAAGATCAGATGACGGACAAAGTTAACATATTTGATTTGACTAAATGTTGTTTTTGTTCCCCACAATGATTCTCTGCTCCTTTTATGCACTCACGGCCTCGGCTAGATGTTTCTGCTTGTCCACTGAGTGTCCGTTTACTTGTTCCATTAAGTTTAAACAATAAAACTTACGTACCCATAAAATTTCATTTGGATATATCAATCCGTTTATTCTTTGTGCCATAAATCAATAAATCAAACACAAAAACCAGCCGCCAGCCTGCGCTCAAAAAAACAAAAGGCTTCTTGTGCGCAACTCCTGAAGCACTTAGCGCACGCCTTAAATGTCCTTTGGCGCTCTCCACAGCGCCACTCTGGTGAACTGAAGAATAGCTCCACCAGCTACAATTCTAATAGTTGACAGGAGACTTTAATTTGACTTCAGGTTTAGTTTACTTTTTATTTTACTGAAAAGAGCGTTAAATCAGTTGATAGTGCAGGCATACTTTGAGTTGTTTGAACTTGGAAGAAACTTACAGGATGATTCATTTTCAATACCTATTAGTAAGAAGACAGAGATCTGTGCCACCAGTATGATGTTATCATATCCAGTTTTGACAAAGGAAATGAGACCCATGCTGTTCTGAACCTTTACTTCTGAGACTCGCACAGTTCCTTTTAATCTAGTCTTGAAATTGCCTGCGTACAGTGTTTGGATGACCCCTGTTTGCACTGCTTCTTTTATATGCTAAGTTCCTTTGGTATTTCCTCTGAGCGACACCGCAGCGACAGCCTGGTTTCCCCACAAGGATTAACAAAGTTTCATCATATTACATCTTATGTCATCCCCCCTCTCTGCTCTGTATCATCCCACAAAGCAAGAACAGTTAAAGATAATCTTCAAAAGAAGATCCAGCAACAAAAGGAACACCAATAACTTCGGTTCAACTCGATTTTCTTTGTGATTGAGAGTGTGAAGTTCCCTTGGCAGAAGAGCAAGAAAACAGAAAAAAAAAAACATGGAGAAAAATGCGACTTTTTTTAAGGATTTGGATGTGGAAATGTTCACACAATCTGTTGTTTGAATCTCTTTTGTCTGCTGTGAGATTAGTAGACACACACACTTTCTGTGGTTTCTGAGCCCCTTGTGTTGAGTGGGCGACTCGCTGTGACTGGCGCTGTCAGATTAGCCCATTTAAAAAGACATATGTTTATCGCAGCATTTCTGCATGTGCACGTGTGTGTGTGTGTGTGTGTGTGTAAATTCTACATACAGTGCTATTTACAGCCTCTGATGCATGTTGCATTATTCATGTTAAACCATGCAGAGAGAGATACATGCTTGTGTCATACAATACCTCTGCTACAGGCCTCTGCTTGATAGAACCTCACACACACACACACACACACACACACACACACACACACACACACACACACACACACACACACACACACACACACACATGCATGTGGATACAATCACTAAATACATCGGACTCCCACTCACAAAATCAGTGACACACTTACCAAAACATACCGTCATATATCAGTGGACACATAAGAACGTCCCTCACTCTAACATACAATACACATACGTGAACACAAACACACACACAAAGCACTAAATCGCATTAGGCAAATGAGAACGAGGCAGTGCGCAGCCAGAAAAGCGCTCTGCCCGACTGCTGTTGCTGTGACAGATCCTGACATAAATCATGTTTAGTTGTTGTTGTTTAATGTGCAAATCTCCTATTCAAAGCATGAAGGAGTTGTTAACAAGAGCGTTCAGACACACACACACACATACACACACGCACACACACACATAAAAGTATGGATTTCCTGAGAAAAGAGACGCATAAAAATGTGTGTCAGCAAACACACACACTTGCTGTTAAAGTGCGTGGGATAGATGTGGATGTGAAATGCCATAGGCGTCATTACAGGACCCATATTTCACAATCACACGGCCATCCATCAGCCCTGTTTGGCTAATGATGACAATGCCGGCACACACACCGGTAAACTGTGCACTGTGCACATACACACATGCACCTAAAGAGAGTTCTCGGTCGCAGGTTGGAGAGCTTCAGCAAGGACACAAACATGAGTGGCACAAAGACACAGAACATGCGTACACATGAGCGCGCTAAAGGACGCTCAATTTGGCCCACACATGTGAAAAAAGCAGCAACACAAAGACATGTCCCACACACACACACACACACACACACACACACACACACGCACACGGTGAATGAAGTGGCTGTTGACAGATTACTGCTGTAATTGATACCCGTGTTTGGCAGCCATCTTTATTTGGCTCAACCACAAACCAGAGAATGATCTAAGCTGCAGCACAAACACACACACACTCACTCAAACGCACACAAACACAGGCATACAAACACACAAATGCAAAGGCTTTCCTTACAAGCATCACTTGACACATCTTGACACATCACTGCACACATACATCTGTACACAGAAGATAAATCCACACTTTGGGCTTCTTAAGGCAAGAAAGAAAAATCGTCTTCCTCCCTGGTGGGTAAAGGAAGAGGTGACTCTCCAGGCAGACTGACTGCATTTTAATTGGTTGTCATCATCGCACTTTATCTCACCAGAAAGACTCGGTGGGTCGGAGGGTGAACATTGACTGCAAGGGAAAAGAGGGGAAGTCTTACCTTAAATAGGCGTAAGATGTTGGCCACCATGATGGACACAGAGCTGGCCGCAGCTCCAATCACCCCTACGATTTTATCCGGCTTGGTGAAGATCGGAGGGTCTCCATTGGCGCAGCGAACATCAGATCCATCCCTCTCTATTAAGGCTTGCACAAATGTCAAGGACTGCTCCAGAGCGTATGTGTCTCTGGAGCAGGTATCCAAGATCCTGGCCCCGAGGGTGATGTTGGGCAGCAGCTCGGGGTCCTTATTGATCAGGTCTATAGCAAACATCATGGCCTCCAAACGGTGGATACCTTTTTCTTTTTTGAGCTCCCCGCATGGTGTGCCGCGGTCCCCCCTTGAGTGCACGGGAAATAATCCGCCGAGGATGATGTCTCCATCCAGTCTGATGGAGTGGGCGTACTCAGGTGCCGCCTGGGGGTCTATTGGGATTCGCTGAGGGGAAGTGACCGCAAAGAGCCAGGTGTAGGAAGTCGCCATGACCAGGAATAAAACAGAGGGGGACCAAAGGGAGGGTGTTGGGCGCCACTGTGGATCCATGATCTACGAAGGATTACCAAAGAAGGTGATCTTTAAGGGGGTATTCCAAAACTGTGGATGTGTATTTGAGGATATTAAAAAGACACGCCGTCCTATTGGTCAAAAAGACAGGGGTGAAGGTCCCCAGGGGTGGAGCTAGCCGAGCCCCATGAGCGAATCATACTCCAGAAGAAGCAGAGAGACGTTCCTTTGAAATAGCGCTGCGGTGAATCGTGGGAACTTGGTTTTGGTTGATGCTGTAATCCACAAGTCACATCTTCAGCAGAGCCTGTTGAAGAAAGACAGAGAGAGAGGAAGTCTGAGTACGAGTGTGTTGTGAACATGAAGCTGCTGCAGGGATGTACGGTCCACCTGACAAACATGAGTAAACCACTCACAGGCTAGACAGGAAGAGCAGCCAAGCATACAAAAAAACAAGTCACAGACGCACACATGCTCAGTCGCCTGCACACACTCACATGGGTGAAGTGATTCCAGCAGGAGCTGTCAAAATTTGCACTTCCATTCTATAATTGAAAACCTAAAGTCTGTCAGTTTATAATCACCTCTGCACAAACACACACGCACGTTCACACTCCTCTCTTGGCATATCGATGAGTGGAACAGCTGTGGAAATGACAGCAGAGAACCACGGCGAGCTCCTCAGGCTGGTCTCAGAGGCTGAGACGACCTGCTGCAGCAGAGATGAGGGAAAGTGGGGAGGTGAGCAGGAGGGATGGGGGTTCTGGGGGGGAGACGCGGGCGGAGGAGACAGAACATGAAACCGTGTGAGACAGCGTGAGGGAAACAGGAGACAGTGGTGGAAGAGAGCGGCGCCTTGGAGCAAGTGTGCTGCATCATTCAGACACCTGCTGTTTCTACTGCAGCTAAATGAACACATTACATCCACTATACCTGGCTATACACACGCACACAGACACACACAGACACACAAACACTGATCTTGTAATCTCAACAGGTAGTTGTAATGTTAAGAGTTGTTTCTACCCATTAAGAGCATTAAATGTTGATAAGCCACTTCAGCTGTCATGCACTGCAGGGAGTTGCACCCCTTTCCCTCACTGTAATAATGTCATGCTCTGCACTCTGAGCTGCACATTAAGGAGCTCCATCCTTGAAAAGTGGTGAAGTTGGTTTTAGCCAGAACTGAAAATGGGTTCTGGCTGATTCCTTAATGATACAAGTGCTGATATCCTCTCAGTAGCTGAGTCCCCAGGGATTTGGTCTCCTCACTTGCCTCCCTACTTCAAAATCTTTGATCTAATTTTTGCACATAGACTGTTTATCACAGAGAACTAATTTGAACAAGGTATACAGACCCTCAATTAGTCATTTTAGGTGTGTTAGCTGTTTCCTTAATACTTTTCCTGAATTTTAGGGGTAAATGAAAAGCAATCTTCTCATCGTCAGAAACAGTTTCTGGCATTAGCATTTAGCTTTCTTGTATTCAACCATTCACTGATATGAATATGCTTCAGTCATTTTCAAGAAAACCATATGTGCATATTCAGGTCATCACTAGGAAACAACACTGCATATCATTATTGATCTATCATTATTGATCTATCATTATTGATAGACTGTGTTGAACCTACTTAAACTCTGCAATGGCGCAGGGTTGTCGATCAGTTTAGCTCATCAGCCTCATTGTTCTCTTGCCAGGCTGGATTATTTCTTCAACATGTAGATGAGGAGAGTTCAAACTTTAAAGAACTGTGTGAATTTGAGAATAAAAACCAGCAAAAAAACTTCAGTAGCCTTCTGCAAGATGAAATGTATCTAGCTTTAAAGAGTCTGACTGGTAGTTTTGTATTTCTGGCCTGATTTTGTGAATATTTCAATGTTTTTACCATAGACTGTATATACTATGGAAAACTTGGTTCTGCCTTCCGCCAGTGTACGGATTTGAAGCTGAAAGGCTCCTGAAACCAACATTGCACAGTAGCGTTGTACGCACTCCACTACTTGTGCAGCAGCATTGTACACATTCGGTGGGAGAGTCGCTGTGATGACGCTCGGCTCAAACAGCGTATCCCCCAGGTGAGCTACGCAATCTTCATACGCCCATAGGCTGTATCAGGTGTCAATCAAAGAAAACATGAACCCCCTAATAACTTTGAAAAACGGAGCTGTACAGAAAAAAGAGGACTTGAGCACAAACCAGTCTTACAGTAACTACATTAGGCAATTAGTCAACATCACAAGCAGGGGGGAGAAAAGTTTATATTCTTTGTAATAAATTTCTAAAGTTTGTCCACATCTCCATAAGCTTTGCTGGAGGAGGTGGGATTTATGACCTATACTGCAGCCCATCACCAGAGGGTGCTGTTCTCGCAGTGGCTTCACCCAGCGAGAAGGCAGACGGCCATTCTATATAGAGTCTATGGTTTTTTACATTTGGTTTTTGCCGTTTTTAATTGACCTTTTATCGTTTCTAAACGGCCTGTGTCCATGACTTTCGAACATTATCTTCTAATGTCTTTCTTCTGTCCTTACATAATGCTTTAACGCCACTTTGATTTGCCGCCAAAATGACTTGCCTCGCTCCTCCTCTTTTTACTCCTCATACTAGTCTAAGCTTGCTGTAATATAATAATATCTTATTCCATAAGCACATTAAACTTCCACTTTTTTCCACATTTAAGTGTGGATTATATGTATTTATGAACCCAGGCTATATTCAAGGCTGGAATACCAAGTAGGTAAAAGTGCCCCAGGCCGTGGACCCAGAGGGACCAAAAGACTTCAGGCTTACCTTGTGGAAGTTAGTGTGTTGATATAATGAATTGCAAATTTGACTGTCTATACTGCATGCATCTCTGAACACATTATGAACTAAAAAGTGGAAGATTCTTCATCATTACTCATCTACAAGCCTTCAGCTAAGTTTTGCCCCGAGGCCCCCCAGTGGGTGTGGCTGTGCCTGCATCATGCTCTATGTGGTCTGAAGGGGTATTACGAGGAGCATCTTTTCTGGGGGATGGGGATCAGCTGGGACTTCTTTACTTTCTTGAAGCTTCCCTATACTCTCACATCGATTCAAAAGCAGCTAATTCAGGTTAACTCCTACTTACAGAAAGGCCTCATCTCTGAAACTTTAACTTTGTGAGATTTGCAGCAGACCTAGACGATCTGACTTTGACATAAGAGTTTTCAGACCTCAGGAGCCACGGTTTCACCAATCCGTTTATAATTCAATTTTGTCCCGATTAATTCAGAAATTTCTCGCCACTCTGAATGGATTTAGGTCACACAGACATAAGCGGGCACCCCACTATGATTAACCCCCCTGCTTTATATAGGTTAGCCACTATTCCACATGCCACATTTTTGTTTATTCAACACTTTCCCCTCAGATCTGGGCTAAATATAACCCTAATAAGCTCCACCGTAGCTAGCACACTAAGCGCCTTCTGTTGATCATTTCTCATTGCATGTTTTTTTTGCTCAGAAATCTTCTTAAATGGAGTAGCTTCTGTGTGGACTTAAACTGACCTAGTGTGTCTTTAATCCTGTGGGAGCATGTTCCTGATTTATAAAAAATGTTAATTCATGATGTAACTACATGCAAATATCCTGGGAAGAGCGCCAAAATGAGTCAGATGTGGGTGTTCAAAAGTTTTTCGTCTCATTCATCATGATGATGATGATGACGTCTGGGTCTCACTGAGAGGTTATATTTCATCAGCGCACTTCTTACCTGATCTTAAATCCCTGATCTGAGCTATTACTCTTTAAGTCCTGAGCACCTGCGGGAGACCTTGTACTTAATGCCTTACAAAGACTCAAAACTGGATTTTTTCCTCCCGTGTGGCAGCCTAATGGGGGGAGCAGACGTCCAAAAAAAGGGGGTGTTTTCCCAGCTTGGAGATAAAGAGGGTTACATCTTTGGGGGCTGCTGCTGATTCATCACTCTTTTTCATTCATACCCCCACCTGGCCGTCTTGTCCAGGTAAGCAGATCTCATCTGCTTTTTGGTCTTCTTTCCTGCTTCCTTCTTTTTCTTGCTTTCTCATTCCCACACTTTCTAATTCTACAGTTTCTCTCCTCTCTGTCACTGTCTCCTCATCTCTCTGGGGAGCGTGCTGCTCTTTTCAGACACTGATAGCTTCTCCCTCTCTCTTTCTCTGTCTCTCTCTTTATCTTAGTAGGTTTTTCTCAGGGTCTTTCGCTCCACCATTGCAGTCTGTTCCCCTCCCTCACGTTCTCCATCTCCTTCCACGTCTCCTCTCATTCATACCTTACTTTCTTATTTCATACACCCTTGATCTCAAACATCTCTTCCACTTTGAGGAGGAATATATTTTTTTTCTTTAAATCAGGCAAGACTGTGGGCAGAATGATGATCCTTGCTTCCTCACCCACACACACCCACCCACACAGACACACACACACCCCTATGGGTACACCCCCTTATTTTGCGTGGCCGGGGCATACCCAGCCTGCAAATAAATAAAAAATAAAGGACGCATTTCTAAAATTGCACCAATGGGGATGACATGCATGCATGATATCTGAGATTTAGACAAATCTTTGGTCAAATACGCACCATTCCCAAGTGGAAACCATTTAATCTAATCTATTATATCATAATCTGATTGATTCATATCCATAATAATGCACTAAAAAAATCCAAGCGACAAAGCAAACAGACTCTGGCAAACCCATTATGTCTAAAACACATGCCTCCAACATGATTAAGTCATGTATCTGGAGATAAAAAAGCAGCAGCCCACAGGTTCAGAAATAAATATGGGAGATCAAAGTCTATGGGTGTATGCTCATTATGCAGCGCTATAGGCTTCTCTCTGCACACAAGCACTGATGGTATTCTGATTGCACCCTAATTAAGACAGTGCCATCCACTGTAAAAGCAGAGGAACACCACTGCGCCGCTGATATCTTCAGGGAGAGCAAATCATGGATGGTTTTTCCATGCCTCTGTGTTGGAAACAAGGCAAAGCAGAGTTCTTACAAATGAAACATAACACTTTCATTTACTCACCTAACCACTATTGCACAGAATCCAGGTGAAATGAAAAGAATGGGGAGTAGAAATCAATAAAATCCCTTAAGAAATAGGCAGCAAAAGGGATGAGACAATAAATAAGACAGAGTGCCCAAAGATCCACATATAGAGGGAAAACACCCACATGAAAAAAAGAAGAGGCAATGGTGTAAATAAACACAGGCTGATAGTGTGAGATACCTTAGGAAATCAAATTTATCCGACTGTGTGTGAAGGGTGAGGAGCTCCGTCTCTCCAGCCTCCCCCGCGGACTCCTCAGGGTCCCTCCTGTCCGCCTCAGGCAACTTCCTTGCGGAGCTCAGCAGTTTTTTTTTTCCTATCCTCCAAAAATATCAGTCGTCCTGGAGAGAGAAAGAGGTTTTTTTTCCCCCCGACAGCAAAAAAAAAACGGATTTAGAGATGACAATGTAATCCAAAAGGCGAAGACAGAACAAAGAAAAACCATATGTGATAGTCGATGTGTTGGAAATTAGAAAAGTGCGCCGTCGTGACCAGCAGCGCGGATTTTCCTGGTGGAAATGCAATTATTACGCCCGCACTTGTTTAAGGTGACAAAAGAGGGAGGCTGCCTGTAATGAAGTCAATACCAAAGAATGAGAGAGAGAGAGAGAGAGAGAGAGAGAGAGAGAGAGAGAGAGTGCAGAGGAATCCATCATAGACGGAATCTGTCAGTCATGATCAATAATGTTGGTAAAACCCACCTGATTTCCATCCACTGTCCTCCCCCTCTTTCTCCCTCTCTCGAAGCTTTACGCACTTGGCGCATAAACCCTTACCCGCGTGAAGTCCACTCGTGCCGCTCCTCCACGGACGCGCGCGCACACTCTCTCGCGCTCCTCCGGTCGGTCGGTCGGTCGTCGGTGCTTAGAGGGACAGCGCACGACTCCACAGCCGATGAAACACCCCCCCTCTACCCCTCTAAAGAGAACATATGCCTATTCCAGGCACCAAATCATCGTCTAATTGCGCCACTGTCGTCCGGCAGAGTCCAGCCGTTCAATCAAGTTTATTACTGATCAATGAGATCGATAGTTTCCACAATGAAGGGCTTTGGTTATTTGAACACATTAATAAGTCATCAAAATATGCTCACACAGGCGTTGCGCCACACTCTTTAATTGCCTCAACTTCAATCCATTTTTACTGCGCCCATTGATTCCCCTTGTAAAAGCAGTGAGCGCCACGCGCGCCTCTTTGGGGCTGAATGGAATTAAATAAATGAACCGCGTCCCATCTGCTGTGTAATAACAATTTGATAAGCTGTGAGGAGGGAGAAAGCAGGCAATCGAAGCGAACCCGGGTGTTCGCTCGTGTGACAATGTAGAAGATGTGCGCAACATGTCCAATTTGAGGCTTCACCGCTGCGGAAGGAGGCGAGGGAGCCGCGGGGCAATGGCACCATCTTGTGGCCAAAGTGGTGTAACCGCAACGGATAAAAAAAAAAAAACAAAAAAAAACAAGTGAGGGTCTTTGAGTGCTGCTTCCTTTAAATGACAGGGCAGGAGGTATCTATGTACTTTCACAAATCATTCTTGTTCACTTATGTGGTCAAGTGCAAGTCTGCTACAAGTGTCTGCAGAATCTCCAACATCTTCACTTAAAGAAAGATACTTTAAGAACGTTAAACATCAACTCTATGTGGAGATTCATCCTCTTTTCAGTGGACCAAAGCACCTTTAAAATGTTACTCCAGCTTTTAGTAAACCGTACTCAAAGCACAAAGCTGGCTGACTTTTAAGATCCCAAATCCTTCAATTCCAAAGGTGGACATTTTTTCTAGGGCTGAGACAACATGCTTCCCCCCCCCCCCGATTCAATTCTGTTACGATTTTTTTGGATTCCGTTTTGATTTCGATTCTACGATATTGTCGGTTTTTAGTCTGCATTTTTAACACCAGTGAAACAGTTTAATGATTATGATTGTCTACTGACGATTCCAGGAACCATATTTCCCTCCCAAAATACACATCACAAGTCATCACACATCACACACATATAAGTTAGTTTTTAAGACTTTTTCTTAAATTTAAAAAAGAAAAATCAATTTTTTAACATAAAAATCTATCAAAAAATTGTAAAACCAAAAATCCTGATATTTATGTGAATTGATTTTTTCTCCTACTCCAAATTTTTTAACAGCCTCACATAAAAAAAAAGTCTAGAACTAGATAACATTAATGCTATAAATATTTTGGTTGAAGATAGTGAAAGTTTTTAAGAGTTTTTGAGCTAAAAAGAAAAAAGGTAGTCAGCAACAAGATCAGAAACTTTGATGTAGTTATTTTTTACTTAGTAATTCTGTGTTCGAGTTACCTCAGAAGTCAGATGTATGAGCTGAAAATGACGTCACACCCTGAGGTACCAGCGATTCAGTTACCAAATTGGAATAAGACAAAATCGGAGGCGGAAACAAGATGACTACATCTACGGAAGTTATATTAGCTCTTGCCTTATATTCGGACAAGGCAAGCGCTAAAATAACTTTCGTAGATGTAGCCATCTTGGTCTTAATATAATATATTGACTCATGTCCAGGGCAAGATTAGCAAAGAGGAAGGGGCTGGACATAATCAACAGGGGGCGCCAAACCAAGACATATAGAAAGTGCCTTACAGGAGCTTAAAAGAAAGTGCAGATCTTTATAAAGGCGTATTAATTCAGTACGCAAAGATTGTTTTGAAGTTCTCTTGGGTAATAACTCGCACGCTTCAGTGAGAAAATTTTCCATTCACTCTTTTCATTATATGCTATTCATTATGCACTTCAATTGGTATTTAATTCACCTATAAAACTTCATGCATCACTCTTGAGATGACATATTGCAGCCCAGAAAATAATGCAAGAAGGGGAAAAGGTAATCTAAAAAAGTAAGTGAAAATGCAAATAGCCAAAGAAGCAATTCCTGAGAAGGCAAATGAAATCTCCTCTCTACAAACGCAGTAAACAAACATGATTGATAGAAGTTTATGAGTCATATCTGAGGACAAAAAAAAACAGGCCACACAAAAGCCCCCCTGTGAGGTTTGAAGCAGTACATTTTTATTTATTAAGTGGTTGGTTTTAACATTCTTGTCACATTTGAAAGGCTTTTCTAACTCTGCTCGGGTTTCTCTAGAAGATGGAGCTTGATAACATATTACAACTGATGATAAAGAAAAGACAAGGTTAGAAAAAAAAAAGTTTGAGGTTTGATTCCTTTTTCTCTTCATGTCAGCGTAAACCTCCTTCAAAGGGAATAAAATAAAACACAAAACTAATCATGGAAAAAGACAAACAAGGACAGAGTCATAACTAGTCAAACATGTTTAAAATAAATGGTCAACCAACAGTTCAGTACATGTCAGTAACTATTGTGACTAATATAACTATAGTATACCATCCGTGGAGGATGAATCCATATTTACATGTTTCAAGACTTTGTTGCAGCAGATACAAAAATAAAGTTTGGTCTTTCATTTTGTCTGGTTTTGTTCCATTTCATGGCTTTCAAACATTAAGACATATCTACATTTGGTCTTCTCTTCTAAATCATGTGCCAGTGTCTCAAGACTACCTCTGGGTGCTGTCAGAAAACAAATGCAGCACCCTCAAGTTGGAGTTCATGCTGCCACGATTCGAATGAAACAAGGAGATGCAAGTACAGAAGATAAAAGGAAAGATATTCGTTTGACTGTGCGGTTGCGTTCGCCATCTGTGAACAGAGAGTGATGAAAATTTAAAGTTCACAGAAGGAACTCGAGCTTTTTTCCTTCGTGTTTACAGCTCCCACATTGTGCCCTATTATAATTGAGACTAGCTTCCCAAACTTGAGAATCCAAAGCAGCAGGTGTCAATTCCATTTTGTTCCACCTGCTGCTGAGACACAACAGTCCTGACACAGCTGCTTACAGAAACCACCTGCTGCCATACTGCTGTGATGCAGCACTATAACCGCAGCTCTGGCTGTAAGGGCTAATTTCTGGAGAGGCTGAAAGTATTAAAGTGATAAGTCAGTGGAAAGAAAAGAAAGTCTTCCAGTTTATGGTTTCTGACATTTAAATCAGTGCGCTGGTTATTCCAACACCAAAGGCAACCTTTCTGCATGAAAATGCATTCAAACACTCATTAGCCCATAATAACATGTGCAGTCCTCACTGTAAATTGGATTCTCACACATTAGAACGAGTGATTTACAGTGACGGGGATAATAACAGTGTTAATTTGATACTTCGAATGTTTGCCTGTGGTTGCTCGCTCCACTTGTATGCAAAAATAATCCATATTTAGCAGGAAATTAACGCAAAGCCAGCGTGATTTAATATCCATTAAGCATCTGTAAAAGGGTTTTATTATCATTGCATAACCTTCAGCCCATCATAATTAGTGCCGCTTTACTGAGTTTTTGGTTTTTCTGAGAGTGAGGGGGCCGCCTCTTTACAGAGCATTACTCTCTCTGCTCACACCAATAGTTCTTTTTTAACAAGGGTTTTACACGGATTTACAGGTGGACCGGGATTTCTGGGCTGAACAGGGGTTGGTCAAAGTTAAAATAACACCTTTTAATTTTTTTCTCCACATGCAGTTCAACAAATATGTCAGAATCTAAGCTCACAAATGAGTGAAAATAGGTAGAAGAGTGTTAAAAAAAAAGGTAAAAACAAACACAAATTTTAGGGACATTGCCAAAATACACTCAAGGCTTTCACTTCCTCTGACCAAACCCTGTAATTGATCAAGATCTCATCCTGTATTAAAAAGACAGCAGCTGCTGTTTGTCTGCTTCCAACAAAACAAAGATGATAAACTTTGGTTTGTTGAACTCAAATAAGCCAAAATCTCTCATAAGTTTGTGTGTTTGGAGAATCCATTTCTTTCTCCCTCAAAACAGAAAAGTAAATGTCAACCGTTTGCTTCCAGTTTTCTTCAGAGTACACCAATCCGTTGATCCCCTTCCTCTTTTCACACTCATCACAAACAAGCTCGTACCTCCGCAGACAACCTTTCACAGAAGTCATCCGCACCTGCATATGGATCTCTATTTACATACTGTAAATACAGAAATATACAGAAGTAGTGAGTCTCTGGTCACTACAGTCTCTCTTTTGATAGCAGCGCCTGGCTTCCATACGTAACTACAAAAAAGGGGAGTGGGGGTAATGGGGTTAGAATCTATCAATATATAGTTGATTCCCCAGCAAAAGGTGGAAATCCAATCCTCCAATCCGCTCATTTGTTTCCTTCATCTCTGTTCTGTGCTCGCTCCCCCCTCATCCAGTGTTTCCCCCCATTTAAAGTTCTGATTTCACCTCTTCATTACAAGTGCGTCTCCCCTTCATTACCACCAGCAGACTGTGGGAGAACAGGAGAAACAGAGAAAAACAGTGAAAAATAGTGTAGAAAAAGGAATAGTGAGTGTGCAAAGTGGTCATTTGAAAGTCTGCAGACGTGCTTTTCCTCAGCAATGGTCCTCTGAATACAAGTAAACACAAGCACACGCCTCTCTTGATGCACAAACATTCACATATTTGCTCAAGCACACACATCTACTGGTGTCTTTTGTGGTTTCTAAAAGCACCACTGCTGCGGGAGCAAATCATGATGGGGGTGAAAATCTGCCTCGACTCAGAATAGATGAAATAAAAAAGAGGGGAACGAGAGGAGGAGAAGCTGACAGCCATAAAGCAAGAGGATCCCAGTGGAGGGGGAAAGCCGTCTGTTTTCTTACACTGCTGCTGTGTGTTTCACCAGACCAGGGATCTGGAGCGGGTGCTGACTCCTTTCCTCCTGCTGGCTGCTGCTGTCGCTGCGTTACGATGACTCCGCTTGTGGGTCTCCAGGTACAGCTAAACAGAAAAGATCAGATCAGGAGGTTGAGTTCTAATCAACAGAGAGATGGCACTGATGATTCAGCACGTTGAGGTGAATGAGCAGCAGGGATGTTGTTAAAGCTCCTGTGAGGAACTTTTGGTTTGTGTTGGTTTTGGCAGCTGTGTACCTTTTGTGTGTTTGCTAATGTTTATGTGTAAGCAGTTTTCCAACAAGAATCACATCCAGCTGTCTTTTAACAACCTCATTTATCAATAACGGGAATCTTTGCCGTGAAATTAATGTAAAAGTGTTTCTGGAGTTCCTTTTTTCTAATGTTGTCTGACCCTGACAAGCCAGCCGGAAGCACCAGAGGGACCACACATTAAAAATTGCTGTATAAAAATGATCAGTCTTGTTTCTGACAGTCTTGTTTGCCTTTGTGGGTCATAGAAAAGCACCAGCATCAATTTATGTCTGTTTCACAGCCTGCTTAATACTCCTCACAGTGGTCAGTATGCAGGACATGATAAGACCTGATAAAACCCTGAGTGAATACAGGATGTTCCTATCCAGTTAAAGGTGGGGTAGGCAGGAATCCCTTAAAGAAGCATCTTTTTTTGTGGTGTATCGACAAAAAAGCTTTTAATATCAGTCAATAGCTATGAGTCATTGATGACATTTGGTACTATAACAATATCGCTGTGTTTTGTTATGTCTGCGTCGTCAACAATTTAAATTTTTTGAGCAAAGAAAGAGAATGGCTTTGTCAACAAAGCCATTCTCCGCCTCCCCCGACCTGATTGGAATGGCAAGTGATTCACGCAACAGGATGGCCCAGCCAGGCTACCCATTTGTAACTATCAAGTAATTATCTACATTATATCTGAATTTAATTGAAACGATACGAGTGAGCAGGAGCGTCTGTTTGTGGGCGGGGCTTGCTGGAGAAGAGAGAGAGGGGAGAGGAGGAGCTGAGGGGAAAACTGGTTGGGAGGGGTAGTGTTTACATTGAAGATTTCTCCCCAAAACTGGCACTTCCTCAGATCCTGCCTACCCCACCTTTAAGGCATATTTCAAACCTGCATTATCCTGGTTTATTCTTAAAGAGAGATTCCTTCCAATTTCACTAATTACATTCTTGCATCTCTTTGTTTCTGCCATAACAGTTTATAACTGGACACTATGTATGATTTTTATTGTTTGTTTTAAAACTTTATATGGATTAGCACCGCAGTATATCTCTGACCTTCATGTCTCCACTCCTTTGAGGTCTGCCGATCAGCTGCTTTTGTCGTCGCTAAGAGCAGAGTGACAGTGTTTCCTCTGTAATGAGCCCCACACCCCCCATTACACTGTCCCTGACCAGACTTACTTTTAAATCTCAGCTCAGCAGCACTCTTATTCCTTGGCTTTAAACATGAGAGCCGTGTGGTTTCTGTGATTTGATGTTGACTTAGTTTTATTCTTTTACTGGCTTTGTCTGTGTTTTACAAGCTCTTATTTGCTTTATGTGTTTTCATGTGATTTATTTGTGATGTTTTTTTTTTGATCATTTCTGCTTTTTATCTTACTGTGCAGCATTTTCATAAACATGTTTGTTTAAGTCTGCTATACAAATAAAGTCAATCTGGATTGGATTGGACAAATGAAAAGACTGCTTATTTATTGTAGATAACTATAATTTTCAAGTCAAAATGAATTCATCTCAGGACATTAAAATTACTTTTTGCCCTTCATGAGTGCGGAAAAGCCTCAATTAATATTCTTGGTCATTTTTACAGCCTACTTTTTGTCATTTGAGTTTCACTGATTCAGCAAAGTTGGAGGACAGATTAATGTGAAAGAGTGAAAATCAGATACCTTCTTGGCGAAGGCTCGTCCACACTGATCACAGGCGTGAAGCGAGAAGTTCCTGGTCACTCTGACCTCAGTGGACGACCCGGTGTTGCTCTCTGACTGGGTGTCGTGCCGCCGTGTGTGTGGGGTTTGGTTACTGGAGGAAGAGTTGCGTTGGTGTGCATGTTTGTCACTGCGGCGGGTGAGTGGGGGGCTGATGGGACGCTGCTGCTGCTGCTGCTGCTGTTGCTGCTGCTGCTGCTGCTGCTGGTGGGTTTGCTGTCTCTCCTGTTTGCGGGTGACAGGAGGGGACGGGGTGAACGCTGGCGATGACAGGTCCTGCTGCTTCCGAGTGACCGGCGGGGGAGGTGGAGCGGAGGGAGTGGAGGAGGAGGAGGAGGAGGAGGAAGCGGGGGGTGCTGATGCGGCGGTTGAAGGGGCCGTGGAGCACTCCTGCTTGCGAGTGACAGGGGGCGAGGGAGAGGAGGAGGACGAAGAGGAGACGTGGCGTCCGTTCACTTCTTCTTTGATGTTGCTGCTCACCCTCTTGTTGGTGGTCGTGCTGTTCAGGACGGCCTCGGCGAGCCTCTTCACCGCCCTGCTCTCCAGTTTCGGCATGATCTTTGCGAGGTAGCTGGACGACTTCTTATGGACCACAGTCACGTGGCGAAGGACGTCACGCTTGCGGCGGGACTCGTAGCGACACAGTGGGCAGCGGTAGAACTTGATGAAGATGTCGTTGCCGTCCGTGTGCAGCTCGATGTGCTTGGTTAGATTCTGGCGGGAGCTGAACTGCCGCTTGCAGAGTTTGCAGAAGAGCTGCTTAAAGTCAAAGCCCACCGACAGTTTGGTCATTTTGGCCGGTGTGACCGTGCTGCTCATGTTGGCGCCACGTGGGGCTGACAAAGACAAGGGCGCTGGCATCTTCGGGCTTGGTGGAGCCTCCTCCTCTTTTATCTTCATTGTCTTCTGCGCCACAGGTGCACCTTTAGCTGCTCCAGTGCTCTCTCCAGGAGAGGGCGCCGGGCTGCTGTCAAAATCCTCCTCCTTTTCCTCGTCGTCATCTTCCTCCTCTGAAGGTTCCACTGCCTCCTCCTTCACTCGGATGTTGTTGCTTGTTGCTAAGGTTGTGCTGCTGCTGCCGCCGCCGCTGCTGCTGTTAGGAGTGGCTGTAGTGGTCGAAGGAGCTTGGGTGGCAGCAGATTTGTTGCTTTTGATGCTGTATATCTTGTGGACGATGCGCATGTGTCTCTTGAGCATGAGCTGGAACACAGACAAGATGAACACAAAATGATGTATTTCCTTCTTAAGAAGAAACACAGCAAATATACACTCAGGACAACCCCTGATACGCTCTCAGGGGAGGAGCTGTCCTGTATTTCACCCTTTCTGAAGACTTTGGAAGTCGACATAAATAACTGGAATTAGAAATGTATGAAGCAAAACTGAGATTTGTCTTTTGATGTTCTCACCTATTCTTCTTTTTAAATCCAGAAATAGCTTCAACCACACAGACTGTGAGAGTCTGAGGTCGATTTTTCTATGAAGGTTTGGCTTTAACTTGCTGTTAGATGTCTAAATGCCTCATATTGAGTCAGCGGTTAAAGATGTAGCGTGTTTTATAAAATTTAAACAACCTGTTATATTAAATTTCTTGCCGCATGTGGATCAAATTGCTACAGCTCATTAAAAAAACTTTGGTGCATTGCACGAACATCATAAAATACAAACCTGGGAACTGTAGTTTCTCTTGCAGAGCGTGCAGCGACACGAGGCCTGTGAAGGCGCCGGGGCCGGACTCTGGGGTTTGGACTGGTTTTGTTGCGAAGGCGTAGTTTTTGAGTTCACAGGCGTGGACTTGGAGTTGTGTCCGCGAGTCGGAGAGGAGTTGTTGCTCTTCTTGGGGGGCGTGACCTCCAGGTTAAAAGGCTGACCGGGTCGAGAGGCAATGCCGGGTGTGATGGTGTCCCTCCGCAGACCACGGTGCACCTCGTCAAAGTGACGGCGCACGTTGGCTTTAGTAGCAAAGGTTTTGAGGCACACGGGGCAGGATTTTCCGGTAGGTGAGCTGAGAGTCCTTTGACGACCTCCAACATCAACAAAGAGAATCATATTTACTACTAATTTAATGTCTCTAACAGGTGCTATATACATCTTATACATGAAATAAAAGACAAACAACAGGTCAAGAGAGTGAAGAGGTCTATAAAACTGGCCCTAAGCACTCATGATAATATTAAAGGAAAAAAAAGAGTATAAAGCAGTCAAGATATTCACCATTTTATCTACATATGCTAACTTCATATTCACAACAGCACAAACAGCTGATATTGTTTAAAGAGATAAACAATAAAGAGTATAAACTCTTACCTTTCACCATAGAGAGCAGGCTTGTGGGGACTGTCCGTGTCTCTGTGAACTTTCGAAGCTCTTCCAGCTTGGTCTGGTGCATCTTCCTGCAGTGACGCCTGATGCTGCGGCGTGAGTTAAAGTCCTGGCCGCACAGACAACACGAGATTGTCACGTCTTCAACCTGGTGTGGAAGGACAGAGGAGCAGAGGTTGGTTGATGGACTTTTATTAAAAGGTAGATCTTATAAGCATGTTAAATGGAGAAGTATCTAAGCGAGGGAAAGTATTTCTGGAATGATGTGTCCAGCCCTCCTACCCCACTAGTGGACTCCTCATCTTCATGCTGCGGCTGTTCTTCTTTATTCTCCTCCTCAGCCTCCCACCTCCTCTGCGCCTGGCTGTGCCCGGGGCTCTCTGGTGCTCCCGGCTGGCCGTTGTCTATACCCTCTACTTGTTCCCCTTCCCAAGCCACCGGGCTTTCTCTGGCGCTGCGAAGGGCGAAGACACACACAGTCAGGGATTAACTGAAACATGAGAGTAGCTTGAAATCCTGTTCTCACCTCGAGGGGCTTAGAAGTCCCTAAAAACAAAACCATATAATCCGGAGGTGTTCTTCTGTGAATGCTGCAGTACATCGAGTACATGTGTATCCACCGCCTACCTGGGAGTGTGTGATGGATATCTAGCGAGCTCCTCCTCTGTGGTCAGGTACTGGAACACAGCCTTGTTGGTGGTCTGAATGGGCTCCAGTCTAACAACGAACTCTGGCCGTTCAGCTCTGGGGTATATGGCGTCCAATAAATCCTTCATGGCTACACTCTGTCGATCATCGCCTAAAAAAAAACAATCAGAAGAAGTAGATCAGTTATTTTTAACTTATCATGGCAGTAAATTATGTTTACTCTGTACAAAAATCCCCTTACTTATGCTCAGCATGATAAAAAATTTGACTTTAACCCTCCTCGTTTGTGCAGTGATTTATGATGTCAAAAACGTAAGCTATGTAAATGAAAACTTTTTTATTTGTGTGTTCTTCACAGCATTTAGTCATTTTGTTAGTTCGCACCTGTTTGGACAAGTCTTTCAAACTCGATCTGCCGACATCAGAGGTCATGACAAGCGACAAATTTTCTGTTCTTTTCAACAAAAATTGATATTCTAACACACCACCTTGTCTTAAGATTAGAAAATACAAAGAAAGCTGTCAACATTTAGCACACTTCATCTAACATGGATAACAGAGTCTGTGATTGATCGAGTGTGGTTTACAGTAGCAGAGCTAGCACCACCAGCTATCAGCCTTCCTCACAGGTTAAGGTTTTCATGTATGTCCTTGTTATTCATTGTTCCAGCTGAGTGTTTATATGCCCGTTTAAGCAGCAGACACAGTCTACATAAAACTTCATCTCCATTTTCTGGATCAAATAAAGTCAGTCTGTGCCGCTCAAAGAGGCCATCTGTTGTCTGTGTGTGTTTACAACTGGGTAACAGCACATTATTGTATTATGGCAGTAGCTACTGGGTGTGATGGGCGGCTGCTCTGCTGTTGGATTTAACATTTTAGGGTTTTCTAAACTCTTCCTAGAAAATGTCAAAATGCAGAGGAAATACTCCAGAAATATCCGTGTACGGATCCGGATTATGGAAGTTTTTCAAATGAGCACTGGTTAGCTGGATCCAGGCATTACTATTGCTGCTGATAAACCTTTGACACACCCACAACAAGGAAGGCGCCACGTCCACCAAGTTGGAGAGACAAGAAAAAATCAAGAATATGATTAACTGACTAGTAACTTTGGTTCTGGTTTGTAATTGAGACACTGAATCCTTTAGTTGCCTGAATGCTCACATCTCTAGTTGTTACAGAGGTGCAACAGAAACAACTTTCAGGGGTTTTATGTAGAATACACAAACTCTGTGAAGGCAGAGCCTTGACACAACACTGCAGTGGAGTCTATAAGAGAGACAATGTCTTACTGGCTGTGTGATTCATACCGTATTTTCAGGACAATAAGTCGCACTTTTTTCGTAGTTTGGTTGGGTTTGCGAATTATACTCAGGTGCGACTTACATATGGTTTCTTCTTCTTGACTATGCATTTTTTGGCTGGTGCGACTTCTTCTCCGGAGAGACTTAAAGTCCAGAAAATATGGTAATTAAAGGCAAACCAGGTTGTTTTAATGTCCGTTTGTCATTTCATGTCTATATAAAGACATCATAATCTCACAGAGGGACATCACTCCTTATCTTAAAATTTGTTTTAAGTTGCTGAAACAATTAAAAAGCCTCCAAGAGGGGAAATTGAAAAAAGTACTTAACGGAGTTTAAAAATTGATCTGGTTGTGAAGTTTGTGTGCTGAAGAGATGAGTGTCTTTGTCCTTGTGCACACTTGGTTTTCCTTTCAAGCTGTCAGTTTCGTAAATGAACAAGTTTCTTGGTAAAATTCTCAGTCAAACTGAAGATAAAGTAGATGGGGAGTAAGGGTTATGTTTTCTACACTAAAATACTGCCCACAAATCCTCACCGGACACTGACCGTGATCATCATCAGGGCTCGATTGTTAAATATTAAGTGTTATGAAGAAAACGATTGTGTTTATCCGATAACTACGCAATTAATACCCAGCATCCCGATGGTGAAAAACAAACACCGATAAAGCCATTTATCAAAATAGCAATACAAAACATATTCAGGCGCTGGTAATGGATTCTTGATGGAGAAAAATTAAGTTGCTGTAGCAAGGAACAAGTTCATTAAGAGAACAGTCAGATGAAAAGAAGATTATGATGAAACAAGGCTCTTTTTATAAGACAGCAATCATTACAGTGGATAAAAGGAGAAAATTATAATTGACCATTTCTGTTGAGATTGATTTCTCTTTCAGGACGAGATGAGAGGAGAGCTGGGTAACTGAAAAAAAAATGACTTTACGACTCTCCCTTGCTTCATCCATTCCTCCAGTCTGCTATCACTTCCAAGCAGGAGAGAACAGAGACTTCGGCGCATACGGTGGCTAATGAGAAGTAGATAAAACACCAATGCTGCGAGATCAAAGTTTAGTTTTCTTTGTAATACAAGAGGAGAGCAGAGGGGAGACGCACCAGACATGTCTGATGGATCGAACATGCGATAACGTGCACGTGAGTTGGTGTGGATTATATAGAAATGAAAGAGTGAGGGGTGCAGACGGAAGAGATGAAAGGAGAATAATGAGCCGGAGTCAGATGGTTAAAAGGAGAGAGGTGAAACCTTGAAGAGGCAGAATGTGGGAGAGGAAGAAGCCTTAGGGGTGACGATGAGGGAATCAATGATTCTGAGCAGAGGTCCATGTACCAGAGCCTTGCTCAGCTTGATCTCTGCCTGGTTCAAGGAGTCTCAGTTTGTCTTTGTGATCCATGCAAGTTTTTTCTTTTGTTTGTCCTCGACTCACACTGAGGCTCCGGGCCTGTTTAGCAGAATGTACCTGTTGTGCCTGCTGAGTTAATCATTATTGTGTTTCTGCATCATTTATATGTTTTCGCTTTGATTTTTGGACGATGTAAGCGTGACTTAATTTATAAAAATGTCTGAGCAAATATTCTTTACTTGTTTGCCTGTTTGCAGCAGTACTAAATTATGAAAAAGGTAGCGTATGAATGGAAAAAATACTACAGATTTAGACTGCAGACAGTGAGACAGAAGTTTATCTAGCATTATAAAGTCGCTTTTTTAGCTGGGACAACAACGTTGGACTTTTACCATTAAGGTGGGCTGTTAGCGTTCCAGCTTGCACATCCTTTATGGTCTTATAGACATATTTGAAGTAAGTTTTTGAGTCTGCTGGAAATAAGTTGATTGTGTTAAACGTTAAGGTTACAAACCCGTCCTCCAGAAAAGTTTTTGGATTATACGTGAACGTTTGGTAAGCTTCTTCTTTTTTTCCCATTTCCAAATGTGACTTCCTTTAAGTCTCTAGTAATTGAGCCCACATTATCATTCCTCAGGGCATTTTTATTGTTCTTCAACTTCAGCGTTATTTAAGTCACAGTTCAAAACTAAGAGCTCATTTTGTCATCATGAAATCCAAAAGTTATCAGGAAATGTGTGTCTCAGACTTCCCCAATAGTCTGAGACACAGTGCTGTGCTGGGCGCTCTCAACCTAACATCGGTTTATTATGGAGCCAGGCCTTGACACTAACTTTTTTTCACGAGGAGCACATGTGCTCCTAAGTTAAAAAAGTAAGGAGCAGACAAAGAACTTTAGAGGCACAATGAAAATTGATCAAATAGTGTGTGTCTTATTGGTCGACCTTAGTACTATAATTTGAAATCAATTTTAGGTCTTTTGGTCACGTGTCATGGAAGCTATTGAAGGAAAACAGCCTTTTTTAAGAACATCAACTGGTAATTAATTGATGGTCCCTTATTCAACACCCAACGTTGACAGCGAGGATGCAGAGTAGATTTAACCGCACTGCTGTTGCTATTCCTGGTTATGGAGAGTGAGAAGACATCGGCAGATCCGCAGAGAATGTCCGTCGGATATCCAACCTAAAACTAACTTTACCGTGGTATTTACATGAAAAAACACTTGTTGCCTTCCCTGTTTTTTTTTGTATGTGCACATGTGCCCCTAAACACATATTACAATTTGCAAACATCTAGTTTTGGTCACAAATGCGAGTGAAACGGTCGCACTGTCGAGCCCTGGGAGCCAATTCAGAACGGATGCAAAACAAATTTCTAAGATTTATTTCCAGAATAAGCTACCAAAGACTACACTTATGGCGCAGTCTGCATGTACAGGGGGTTTAATCAAAGACAGCCCCAAACTGATTTCACTGATTTGTTATTTTAACAAAAGTGATGTCAAAGTAATGTTAATAGACTTGGGGTTTGAGGGTTTGCACATTTGTTTTGGGGTAAAACCCACTCCTGTCTTTAAAAGTGTATAATCCATAATCACTCATTTCAGTGTGTAAACATCAAACATCACCAGGACAATACATAAATTGTGAATTTGACTTTCATCATTTGCAAAGGCTCAGCAAAAGCAGATGCCACACAGACTAGGCCCTCGGTGTCTTATCTTATGATGTTTCATGTGTGTGTGTGTCACTGACCGTCAGGCTCAGGCAGCCTTGATAGGCAGTAGTACTCTTTGTGTGTGATCAAGTTGGGCAGGCCTCTGAACAGACTGCGACACAGTTTGCACTCAAAGATGGTGTCCACCTCCCTCAGCAGCATGTGTCTCAGCTGGCTGGTGCCTGCAGGGCAAAGTAACCACAGGGCGATTTAACAGACATATTCCATTTACAGTACATCCAGTAAAATGTCACCAAACACTGTTCAGTGATCGTGAAAGAAACCGGCAGCATCACATCAGTATGAATACATTTAATTCTTTTATTATGAATCTGCAAAGTTGTTTACTACTTTTACATCTGTACATTTAAAAAGCTGCTAAATATCATCCAAAACAGCTGCAGGCAAGAGAGATTTTAGGGATCTTTTAAGCACGATGTTTCGAATCAAAGAGGAAAAAACAAAAACTCAACAAAGGAAAAGATTAATTTGTCTGCACAAAAGATCTGTCAGTTCAATTCCCCTCATTTCCTCCAGTGGAAACATCAACAACTTTAGGGGCTTCAGATGTCCTTAGCCTTTGTGTTATTTTTGCATCAATGCTGTCATCACCTTTACTTGTGTCATTGTCGTCAGTGCGCTGACTCATGTGTCCGATCCAAAGCTGTCCATACAGAAGCTTTTACCGTATTGTTGGAAAGTGTGACTCATATTCGCGCAGAAATAGACAAACCCCTTTGTCAGACATATGCTTTGCCAAACTGAGTACAAACGACATGCATAAATTACGCATACATACTTTATAAAAACAGCTGACTTTGCCATAATTTAACACAGAGGTGTCAAAACCTGCACGTAACCTACTGACACACACATAATTACACTCACAGAAATGCACAGTTGTGTCCTCTGACATGTCACTTCCCGCGCCTTTCATTCTTGTGTGGCCTCGGCATATTTTGCTCTTTTACAGGCTCAGAAAAAAATGCAGCCTACATGTACTGAGGCATGATTCAACACCACAGCAGCCTGTGACGACTTCGCCAGCTGACAATATTATAGCTGCAAAGAAGCCAGCTCACGGTGTGTGGTCATGCAGAGATATTCAAATTCGCTCTGCTCTTCTTTGCATATCTTTTTCGCTCTTGTTTAACAGAGGAAATGGAGCTGTCGTGTAATGGAAAGCTGATCTCTAGAAACAGGTATCTCAACACGGCTGATGGTCGAGGAGAAGGTTTTGGTATCTGGTATCGGTTTCCTTTGTTTCAAATCAGAGGAGGGCTGTAGAGCTAACAAACAGGGGTCACATTCAATCTGAGAACAGAACTAACTTTGCTCTGGTTTCTGGGCTGACTGACATGTTTCTCTGCAAAACTGTGTGGGGCCTTGAGGAACACTTACACTTGTTTTGGGGACGTGTCAGGACTGAACGTGCCCTACATCTGAATGGGCCTTGGCTGCAGGACATCGAAACACACTCCTTTCTGCTATCATCACACTGAATTTAAGCTTCTAATCCATCTCTTAAAAATATCTGTATATCTCTAATGCAGAAACCTATCAAGCCTCGGGCATCTCCCACTAACACTTACATTCTTCAATCTAAATGTATTAGTTCGATAAGACAACTACTCAAACAGCTGCTACACTTTCCTTTTCTTCTTCTCCACAGTTCAGTTTTAAAGGTGAATTTTTCAGGTGAATGTCAGCAAGGCCAAAATATCAGTTCTGTCATCTGGACGACACATGTGCACATAGTAAATAAAGAATAAAAAAAAAGGTGGATTATTACAGCCCAATGTCACACACCTGAGCGGAAGCATTCAATAATCTGCTGGATTCCAGACTTGGAGGTCTGCAGAGGCTGCTGGAGCAGAGGAGGATCACCTGGCTCCACACAGAGACCTATTCAGTAAGACAGAGACAAAGACAGAGGGCGGAGGAGGGGTTACATTTCATTCAAGCAGAGCAAATAAATTCATCTGGGCATGACATGTTTTTGGGAAATCAACCATCACTTCAGTATTCTGGACACCTTGTAAGACACAGAGTACACCATAGCTTGCTTAAAGGTTACGCACTATCACAGTGAGACAACGAGGTCAGAAAAGGGCAGTGATTCATTCTTACCTTCCTACACACACTCAGGCAGACTATGTTTATTTTATAGTTAGAAAGAAAAAACAGGATGCAGCTGTTAAAAGATGGATGGAAAAGCATGTCTTCCACAGTAAATATCTGCGTGGTGCTTGTTCAGAGGACTACGGCTCAAGTGGGACTGTTAGCAAACATGCGGCAGAGCCCTGCTGATGATAATTTTTTGTGCTCGGTCCAACATCCTTCAGAGCCAGAGCAGCATCTGATACTTCAGCTTGGATGTCATGCAGAGCCACTTCGGAGGGCGAAGCAGGAGTGTGACCGGGAAGAAAAGTGTTGAAGTGAAGTGGGAAATGATTTTGGTTTTGCTTGATCTTAATCACCCTGGTGCTGAAGGGGACAGACTTAAGTTTGATTCATGACCAGCTTTCACACTGTTGTCACATAATCGCTTTTAATAAATTGACCACCTTCTTCCAAACATCTCACTACATGTATGTTCATATATTTTAATAAAGTGTCGTGAATGAACAACATATTTGGTCAAACAGTTACAGCCCCAGCAAAGAGAGTTGAAAACTGTATTCTATATTTAATGCTTTTATTAAACATTAAACACAAGATACCGAAAGCAAGGTTTTGGTTCCTGAACTATTAATGCATCTGACTTTAGCTCCATGTGTTAAAGGAGATAAGTGCTCTGATTTGAACTGATGTCATCTCTTTTTACGTCAAAAGACTCATTTATGCTTACAAAACCTCATGACTTTCCGGGTAGACAGAGATCAAATGGGCATGTGCCCACAAAAGAAAACCACTTTGACCTAGAAACACACCAACGGACCATTAGAAACTAAGCCAAGTTGTATATATTAATGTAGATAAGAAAATGACATAATTTTAAGCCTCAAACAGTGCTGACCACAAGTAAGCTTTATATATTATACTGTCAGTTTATCCAACAGTGAGAGAGATCTAATGTTTGTTTAACATTGTGAAAGTACGACAGGAGGATACAGTCACATTTAGGAAGGGACGTTATGATAATAAAGTTGTAAGTTACATGAATGACGAGAATTAAGTCATAAACTTATATAATAATCTATATTTAGCCCAAAGCTTATTGAAGTGTAAAAGTTTCACAAATAAAAAACACATATTTAACACATCAGCTCCGTGTTAGTATAAGTATCAGTGCTCTCAAAAGAAAGTGGAAAACAATGAGTATCACAATTATCTGTGAAACCAGGACTTGAGTTTCACTTCACAAGATGCTCCACTTTTCTCACTCGAGTGTAGGCGGCTGGTTCATCCGCTGGCATTCCCCTCCGAGATAAAAGGTAAACAATGAACTAAAACCACAATTTTAGGTTTGTAATGGAACAACTTTGATTGGGTAAATTTACAGCTTTTTCCACCTAATATGACGACTATTCTAATTAACTTTTTCCGTCTTTGTGTGTTGTGGCTAAGAAATGTAAACTACAGCTGCCAAACTGCAGTTCATCCGGAGATGGGATGCACTATTGTGGATCAGAGGGACAGTTTTATTCTATCATTTCATAGCAACACATAAATCACATAAATCTATCAATTTTTTTCTTTTTTTGGGATAGATTTTGATTTCTTTTATTCTACACAAGCCTGGATTACTGGTCAGCAAAGAGACTTGAACTATACACACTGGAGGTCTGAACCCTTTTTGGCCCCATACATGCTTGTTTGAGCACAAAGCCAGCCTACAGAGCGAGTGGAGCAGTGTGACAGGTTGTGTGCGGTGGTAGGTGGGTAAGAGACAGACAGAAGGCAAAAAGGGCAGCAGCAGACAGACTGACACGCTCACAAAGGACGCAAACAGAAGTATGAATGAAAATGTAGTAAGTGGGAGAGAGAGAGAGAGAGAGAGAGAGAGAGAGAGAGAGAGAGAGAGAGAGAGAGAGAGAGAGAGAGAGAGAGAGAGAGAGAGAGAGAGAGAGAGAGAAGTTATGCATCTATGTGTGACGGAATGTGTGTTTCCTCCCTCCCTCCCCCCACACCTCTCTCAGGCAAGTTGCCATAATCCCAGTGGGGGAGGTCAGCAACCGGCCGACCTCCACGCCCCCCTCAGCGTGAGGGTCAAAGATCACTCAATCAGGAACATCAGTGGAAGTAAACAGCTTCTCTTCTACCGTGAGTGGTGAAACTTTCAGCAGCACCACTAGAAATCTATTCCCTAGAGAAAAAAAACCCAGCGACATCAGATTTTTTAGGAAAGCCCAGGAAAGCAGGAGAGAAAATATGTCAGCGTTTTGCAGAAATCATGTGAGATTGGTCAGTCGGGGCAGCCCACTTTATGAACCAGTTAGCTTAGCTCTCCAGTAGCTGTAAACTGAAGGAATAAAACAAGCTGACAGGGAGAAAAGTGTGGCTTTTTTTTCCAGCCAGCAAATTCTTAGGCAGGAAGCAACAAATTGATTTATTTAAATGTATTCAAGCACTAGTTCTTGAGATTCATACTTGCCAAACAAAAAAAAAACACTTTAGTAGCTCTGTTTTCCTGCTTCTTAGGCTGTGATGAACTTGATTTCATTTGCCAGAAACTTCTCGTGAGTAATCTCTCACAAACCCTGGCAGAGATCGGATTAATTCTGCAGGTTTTAAGCCTAATTTTAAGGTACATCTTATCTTTGCAGGACTAGATTTCAGCTCAGTTTGGGACCTGGACATGTTTATTCCTTCTACAGTATACCGTATAACTTCACATGTCCCGGGTGAATGTCTGTGTGAAGCTGCACAGGAGGATGACAAACACTTTTTAGCCTGTGGGTGTGTGAATCACAGCAGCAGGAAGTGCAGATGGAAGAAACCTGTACCCACCTGTGTTGTGACCGTTGCTGCTGTGCTGAAGCTGCTCCTCAGTCTGGCAGCTCTGGTCTCTGGTCCCGGTGCTGCTTAGGGGCTCAGGCAGCAGAGGGGGAATGGGTTTCCACAAAGGTTTGGTCTGGATCTGGGCAGTAGGATCACTCTTTTCCTGGATGTCCATTGGAGTATCCTTCTGGTTCAAGTTCTCTGGCGAGGCCTCGGTCAGAGCCGGGGACTGGGGCTGCGTCTGATCAGAGGCCTGTTCTCCTTCTCGAGGCGGCTCCTGAGGTGGATCCTGGGTGTCTGAGATCGGCTGGCCTTCCTCCATCTCCTCCTCACCACCACTCTGGAGGGAACACAGCAAGACATGAAAGCATGAGCCAAGGAGAAAAGCTGGACTGACTTCAAAAATATCACCGGATAACAACTAAACTAGAAGTTAGAGCACAAGAGGGAAAAGATGGCAAAGTCAATGTTCCTATGTTCTCCAGGGTCAGATTTGTGGGTGATCAGACTTTGTCGAGGCTTCCACAGGGTGGCGCCAAAATGAAAAACACTGACATTCAGGGAAGGAAGGCTAACAAATCTAATTAGGAGGACGTTACCCTTATCTTGATTTTAGATTTTGTCAGCATCAATTTTGCATACTAAAGCTTCATTATCCGGAACATCACCATGTTTCTTTATCAGCTGAGAAAGTGTAACCTCCTAAACATTAGGAACACTGGAGAGTCTGACACAAAGCTCAGAGATCTGATTATAAATTAGTAATGTGGCATGATTCCAATAAAGGAATGGTGGGTTTTCACTGCTTGCTGAAATAAAAAAGTGCATACTGTAGGGCAGCAGAGTGAAGGGTCACAGCAGGTGAGGGAGAGAATGACAGTGTGTGTATGTGTGTGTGTGTGTGTGTGTGCACGTGTGTCTGTCATGTCTCCCGAGCGTCCACAGATCTTGCAGGGAGACATTAACCTTGTCGCACAAACCCACCCTTCAGCAGATAAGTGACTCCACACTGGCCCGTTATTGTGTGCACTACATCCATCTGTGCTTCACTGAGTGTGTGTGAGCGTGTGCGCGTTTCTCCTGACCAGACCTCCTTTTTTTTCCCTCCAAATCCCCAATCTTTCCTGGTCTCCCACCCACCAATTTATCCTCATTTTCTCTCTGTCTGTGTCTGTCTGTCCCTGCTGCCCTTGAAGAGGGATAAATGACTCCACCATTCAGGCACATTACAGCACATCACCACAGGACAAGTGGGCCACTTGGACACTTGTGTCACCCCTTTTTACACACTTACACATAAACACACAAACATACCGTGCATATCCCAGCAGCATCAAATGATTACAAAATAGCTTAACGGCATGTAATACATGCTCAGTGACGCCATCTGTGCAGTACAAAATTCATAAGCCATTTAAGCCACACAGACCCTTCTCAACCAGCTCTGCTCTGTGGGAAAGTTTGAGCTCATGAAATGGAAAAAAAACTGAAAATTAAAAAAGCTGAACTAAAACCATGGCTGATTGGTGCACAAGATGACTGGAGGTGATGGCCTGGATTTTACTATTTACTAGGGGTGGGAATCACAAGTGGCCCCACAATACGATATTATCACGATACTTGGGCCACGATACGATATTATTGTGATTTTTAGTATTCTGCAATATAGTGAGTTTAGCGATACAATATATTGCGCTCTATACAATATTTTCAACTGTTTAGCTAATTTAGCATTTGTCTTTCCTTTATGTTTGTCTTATTCACACAATATTATGTTTTCAAATCGCACATCTTGCAAACCTTTTATATCTTTGTTGTTCTAACTTTCTTCTGCTCCATGATGTCACCTCTGCTAACCTCACTGGACAAACAGTTGATTTTATTTTTCCATTATCATAGATTTAACTTCACGTTAATAATTAATTGAATAAATCGATGCTTGGTAAATGAGGAGATACGATATATCACCAGACAAAATATCACGATACAATGCTGTATCGATTTTTTCTCTCGCCCCTACAAGTTACTCACAAATTCTTTACCCTACGTGCAAATTTGTAAGTAACTCAGTATTAATAATACCGTGGCTAAAATGCCATGAAATATTAGTCCATGTGTACGGCTGGGCGATATGGCCTCAAATCAATATCACAATATATTGAGCAGTTCACCTTGATAATGATAAATGGATGATAACTACTCCACAAGCTGCTCATCCCCTCCCAGATTAACTTTGTCTTCTTCAGCCGCCGCTCCAGTCACTACAACTTTTGAACCGTCCTCCGTCTCCTCACCTGTCTTTCTCTCTTTGTTACAGACTGGATGGGGTGGAGTGTCTGATGTCTCTGACATTGGACAGGGTCTTAATGGGACATGAGATTATAGCCTACCTACACACATCCAAAATCAAGTTTTATTTATTTATTTTTTTTGACACCGAATATACCGATTTGGGCAAAATGATGTCGCTTATTGTCATAAATTTGGGTATGTGTAAATTTTCAGTTTATCCCCCAGCCCTATCCATGAGCCACCTGCAAGATATGCATTAATCATTTCATTAGGCTGTAGCAGCAGAGCTACTCCCAGGTCCACTGACAGCAAACCAGTGGGCACTGAACAGGGAAAAGGGTCACGATTTTATTCTTTCAAGAGCTAATAAGAGCTGTAGGTGTGATGGATGCAACCGAGGTTGTTGTGATTCATGCCCTTATGGCTCTGAAACACTTTCTTTCCCTGGAGCAGAACACTGGCGAGGGAATCAAGAAGACGATGAAAAGCACTCAAGAGGTCATGCTCTGCTTCAGACAGGTTGAGACTGATCAGCTGTACATAAATGTGACGCTGGTGGATCCAAGATATGAAGACAGGTGAGTACAGTAAATATTGTGACTTTTGATTCTATTATAATTCTGGTTTAATCTCATAACAAGTCAAATCTGATCATTCATAATAGAATAAGAAAATGTGTGCTATCATATCAGATATTTTCAGAGGAAATACAATTATTGGATCAGTTCTGGGTATTAGCAGATTCTCTGTTTTTAAAACCTGGATCAGGGTCGGGATCAAAAAGTGCACATCAAAACATCCCTGGTATAAAGTGTTAAAACTGTGTGGATACAAACAGCTATTTGACTGTAAAAAAAGAGCACTTTCTCTGACCAATTATTAAAACTCACCAATTATTAATTTGCTGAGATTTGACAGTGGCTGTGAAAATGACAGACCGCACAAGTGGTGATCAAGTTAAATCTTATTTTGAAGAGATGAAGACCACACAATAACATCCAGACACTGTTATTTTGTTCCAGTACCTGTCTGTGTTGACAGAGAGAGCTCTTCCTCCCAGCTGACTTCTGGGCCTTCACCATGCTGCCTCCTGCACCTCACGTTCTCTACCAGCACACACCTGTAACCTGCAACAACACTCCACATGAGCCAGGGGAAAAGCTCAGGATAGAAAAGTGCAGAAGCTTCATTATGCCCAACATTTCTCTCTTTTCTCATGCATAGGTTTGAGCTGAATATTCAAATGTTAGTTTTTGTTTTAGAGCTGTACATAACGGCTCGATTCACTGCAACTGCACAAAACATTTCCACACAGTCAATGAGAAAAAAAAAGGAGGATAATGTGAGAAAAAAGTTTGAACTCAACACGACATCAGTGACATAAGTTTTACCATATAAACATCTGACATGAGTCCATCAAGTCTGCTTAGTCTGGCGGCTCTGTGGTCGGATAAAGACTCAAACAGGGGCATTATTGCATTAACTGAGAAAATAACTGCTAACTGAAGAGTCAAAATTCATGGTTATGGCTACTGGCGCAACAAAATCTAGATTGTGCATCCCCAATATTCGCCTAAGGGATCAAACTATCCCATGTCACAAAAAAGAGTAAGCAGACATCCAAACCCAGGAGGGCAGGTGCTGAGTCAAGCATAAGTACTATCCCACAAAACAGACTTAAGAAAAACAGCTGACACACTGCAGGGCTCCGTTATTCCAAAAAAAGTGGTGAACTAAATTTTCTGGATTATTGGAGCCTTGCAGTGTGTGAGGCGTTTTTCTTTAAACTTGCAAAAAAAAAAAGGCTTACTGTCATAATCATCTAGAATATTTTAAGTTTCTACATCCAGAGCACATTCCTGCGAGTGTCCCTCTAGTGAAAGCACATTTAATGCACACTAACGCCGCATAGTAGTGTGTTCACTGTTTGCAGAAAAACCACCAGGCCCCAAACTACATCTAAATATAACACAGAATTAAATAATTGAAGGCCACAATAATGATTTCCCACAATGCTAATTCAGCTGCTCCTCACATTGCTGTCAGGGAAAATTAAACCCACGTTACTTTCACCAAACCACAACATGAGACACACAATCTTTGCTGTGTGCATCTAAAATGAGAACCCCAGCCCTCTTTACATTCTTACACTGATGCTTCTCCCAGAGGGTCTTATAATGCTGGAACATTGTTGCTGCATACAGGAGGTTCTGCAAATAAAACATGTCTGACGGGCGATGTTATGCATGAAAAATACTGTGACGGTCAACATACACACAACTGGATGCATATATTCAAAATGTTTCAAGCAAGCTGTGGACAAAAAATGTATCCACTGTATTTCTGGTATTGCACTGATTATAAACTTATTTCTGGAACATGAGATGAAGAGGTGGTGTCAGGGTCAGTCTTTTCTACCAGTTTTCATTATACTGCCTCTGCTAATGGGTAATGAATTTAAGGAATCAATCCCCAGTCTAGTTATGAAAAGTTACCTGTGAGTTATTTTTACTGAATCATAATCATGAGCTTAAATGTGAGCTTTATTTCACTTTATCTCACAGTGTCTAAGGTGAAATTGCATTTCTTGCTGCCCTCTAGTGGAGGTCTATGTTACAACAGTTTGGTCCAAGTCAGCCAGCTGCACCTGACACCAACGATGATGCTCAATTCATCTGACTCACTAGAACACCTGGAGCTGCACTCCAGCAATGCTAAAAGTTTGACTGACAAACAATTCATTCATCTTTGTCATGTCCAAACAACAACACCAGTCCAGGATGAGCTCACAAGGTTTGTAGGACAAATCAAAAGTTCAAGAATTGATTATATTTTTATTTTCTTTGATGGTAGATTAGCTTTAAATTAGCAAGAACTTAAAAAGTGGACAAATAAAACTAAATGAAGACGACAGCAATCAAAGCAGTTAATGCAAAAAGCCGTATTTTAACAGCATGACAACAACATATAACAGGACACAAATAGTAGGAGAGTAAGAATTGTTAACTGGCTGTACTAAATGATTCTTTTTCTTGGCCTGAGGCAGAAAAAATATTTACAAATCATGTAATTTTATGGCAAAGTTTCAAAAAAATAGATTAAAAATGGGCTAAAGTCTTAGGTTTTCAATTAACTATTTAACTCCTGGAAAGCTGCAATCCGAAATACTTTGATGTGACCAAAAAAAAGACACACTGTCCTTTTTAAGTCCATTATATAAGTATATTGAACTATGGATGCAGCCATGGCACAGCCTGCGTTACATGCTGAAGTGGGTATATTTGTAGTTCCACCAAAAGTCCAGCAGAGGGTGACAAAGTTACAGTGAAGTTAAAATGTTTTTCTGGTTCAAAAGTTTGCAGTCTCGTTATGAATCCAGAAACCACGACAAAGAGCACCTTGGGGCCCCAAAGGGATTTCCCCGCCACAACATGTGCCTTAAAGTTAAGGTAGTGATTTAGCTGTAATAATTCACAGATTAAGAGCAACAAAAGCATAGAGAAGGGAATAACATCACTACAAAACTGCTCTAATTTCCCAGGAAACAATCAATTATTGCCCCACACAGAGCTGAATCCTGAGGCTGGACCTACACTGTGTATGTTAATGGCAATTAGACTGCAGCGCTCTGATTTCTCTTGTAGAAACCAACAGGTTTTCACAATGTATCATACATCTGTTTCAGCTCAGGGGGAGACGCACAAGTGGTTTGAAAAATGAGTGTGAAGATGATCCTGGGTTTTCAACACATTCTGTGATGACTGCATCTGATGTTCAGTCACAGCTAAACACCATTTTAGCAATTTGAACATTTTTACTTACAGCTTAAAAACACGCTGAGTGATAGAGATGCAACTGCGTACTAAAGGGGTTACATCTATTTCATTAAAGAATCCATCACTGCCAAAACCTGTACTTAAAACTGCTTTCACAGTTAAACAGCTCAGAGTTTTGCTGCCAAACTCAAAAACGATTATGGCTGAAACTTTGGGGACTCACTACGATAAATTACAGGTTTTCAAACACAAGCCGGACACAGATGTCGCCCAACCATCAGTGGTGCTGTTGATGCATTTCACAGACCATTTCACACAGTGTACTCCACAGCTCGACTTTACACTGTTGGGTTTGTTTTGAGATGCCATGAACTTTAGAAGGAACTCTCTGATGCCTTTCAGATTCTGGTTGGTTGCAAGAAAAAAAAATCTGCTTCAGTGGTGAAGATTAGCCCATGAAAGCTGTGTGATAACATGATGTTCGAGGCTATTGGCAGTGATTGAGCACTAACTTATAAACCCAAAATTAATTACTGTGAGGGACCACGAGCATATCAAGAATAAAAGAAGATATGAGAGAGAAGAAAGTTCATTTTAAGTTTTGGGTAGAGATGCACCAACTTGATTTTCATACCTACATATACTGACTCTTCCTGCAACAAGTGAGATCTCGCAAGACGTCAGACCGACACTTCTCCACAAGGAGATTCAGTTGCACACAGACTGGCCAGTCTGTGGAAGGTAAGGGAAACCCGTGCCGTTGTATTCCCCGGACAGATAAAAATCTGAGCCTGTCATAGGTGAAATAAAGTGCTAGTCACGGACGCGGTTTGAAGATGCACAGCTGCCTGGTCAAACTATGGCTGTGCCTGAAATGGATCCCTAACCTCTATATAGGCGACTATATGGGGGTTAGCGCCATTTTGAGGGGTGTCCGAAACTGAGTGATCAATTCTAATGACACAAATAGGCGACTCAAAATTTCCCATAGAGCATTGCGTCTCCAGCGGCAGTCTGAGCAGTGCCATCACAACGGTACGCCATGTAGTGTCCGAAACCTCCGGTGACTGAGCTCACTACATAGTCAGCTGTATTAACCCCATATGGGGGTCAGTGGTTAGGGATTGAGTGATTCATTTCGGATACAGCCTATGTCTTAGCTCGTTTTGCGGCTGCCGGCTGCTCCGCTCTCCCTCAGTGCTGGACCGATTTCAGAAACTGTTCTCCCCTCATCAGTCAGGCACAGAAAAACACATGGTTGAAAAATATCAAAGTTGATCGTTTACATGACTGTCGTTTTAAAAAGGGACATGAAAGAAAGCAATGGACAGTGCAGTGTGAGGTGAATTATGCTGCTTTGCACACAGCGTAATGTCACAGCTGAGTCTGAGTTATACTTTTGCAAGTTGGAGACTGAGGCAGATAGTGATCATTTATTTCTTTTCATTTGAAACTTACAAAAGTTCAACTTTACAAACAAATGATTGTCAGTCGGATCCTCACAGAGCACAATAGATGTCATCATTTTTATGCTCAGAATCGGTGATACCTAAAGTAAAGGTATTGTTATAGAGGCATAAAAGTTGGATTGGTACATCTGTAGTTGCAGGATACTACAAAACCTTCACCATCAACACTAACTACTGCGAATAAAAGTTTCACCATCTGTGAGGTCCAGAGTAATTCGGGACTTTATTGCTGCACAGGTTTGCCTCCTTATTGAGTTTTAACTGTAATGGACACACAATAAACTCCACACAGAGCTATTAGATAGGAATAATTTATACTCAGGCAAAACTGAGAGCAGACTTATTAATGTGTAATGCACCTCTCTGTGGCCTTTGACTAAAAGAGAAATGGAAAGATTAACACCAGACACAAACTATGACGGGGAATTAAAGACTGTCTGCCACAACAATTACTGAAGTTGAGGAAAAACTGCATTTAAAAAAGGTCTGATTGTATTATTTAAGAAAATAAAGGTTCATTTTAGCTAGTTCAAGACTGAAAGGTAACAACAAATGCAAATTCCCATTCCCCCCCTCTTCAAATGCTAAACTGGTCTTTAGTCTTGGTGTGAGCTCAAGTGAAACTGACTGTTATTACATATCAGTCTGTGAGCTCTGTAGCCCCTGATGACCTGTTGGGGGTGTTTCGAATTGCTTCACCTGATGCATGCTGGGATACACTGTAGCAACCTGTCATAGAAATCAGCAGGAAGTATATACGGATCAGAAAATTCAGGGAAAAAAAAGGAAACTTGGATGAGAAAAAGTGCAGATGGAAACCTCAGTGGAAAAATGTAAGTCGAAGTGGGCTTTCACAGCGGTCAGTGGACCCTGTGGACAATCTTTGTATTCCTCCACCAAAGTCCTACTTTTTCAGGTTGAGACAATAAAATACATAAGCATGTCTAATCATCCTATTTTCAAAGGCCACTTCTGTATAATAGATTTTTTTTAATGTTGTGTGATTCGTATTACTGGTATGGCTGCCAACCGCTTGTCTTCAGGCCATGGCTATACAGGGACAGACATAAAGAGATATTTGTTCAAGCAGCACTGACTGATGCCAAAAGTGGGATTCAAACAGAAACTGATCAGTGACTCATATGAGGGCTGGTTATGTGGTGATTACACAGATATTAGATGAGAGAATATCATGGTCTACAGTGAATTTATGCTGTCAGGTAAAGTAGAGGATAATGAGACCTGCTTCAGATAACAAAGGCTACCAATCAGGCAGGAAACACTCATGTGCAAAATGAGAAAAACTTGTTCAACTTCTGACTCTTTTTGCCTGACTCAGAGTTAAGCTCTCTTACATGACTTACTGGGGTTTTTGCAGACCCTGGGGTACTTTTCTCTGTCGTAGCTTGCAGGTACTTTATTCTTTTATTCTCATTTGTAACGGCTTTGTTGATCGGTTTGTTCCCTCATATCATGTAACCAAGCAGTTAACAGTATTTTATCAATAATACCAGTTTGTGTATGCCTATTTGGAGTAGATGGAACAATACATCCACTCAGCTCATATATGCCGTGGGTTGTGATATCAGGACAGGTAGGGCACTTCGCTGGTCTATTTGAAGCTCATTTCAACACAGCTGAACAACACAAATGGTCTTTTTCTAGATGTTGTTTGGATGGCTTTACAATTTCAAGGAGGACAGGTTGCTTATTTAGTTAGTTAATTAGTTAATTCTCGGGGTACCAAGAAAGCAACAACTTCTCGAGTATCAGGGATGGGAATTGATACGATTTTATCGATATCGATGCCATTATCGATTCGTAATATTGATTCAATTCTTTCGAGATTTCCTTACCAATACCTTTCTTTGATTTAAAAAAAAAGTAGACTCAAATTTTGATTGAGTCTCTGATACCAGAGAAAGACGCATGCCACCTTCAGTGAGAGTCTAAAAATAATCAAATGGCAAACTATTTGTACAGCATTTACTTCAGTTGGTATTAAGTGAAATACACAATACTACTCGACAAACGTTGAACGTCACACTGTTGTCGTCTTTCTTAGTAAGTTGAAGCCACGCTTTAGATTGTTTCTGCCTACTTTTTGTACCAGCCACCATGTTTTTTTCCTCAAAGTCTCTGTTCTCGTTCACGCAGAACTGGCTCTCGTGAGACCATTTTTCAAGTCACCCGGTAGAAAGGAATCGTTGAGGGAATCATTACGATAAAATGTAAACAATGCTTATGGATTGAACCATCTCGACTCCCATCCCTATCGAGTATGAAACATGAAGTCAATGTGGAAGAACATAAAACTATTGCTTACTTGAGGCTGTTTCCAAATTCAAATGACCAATTTCACATCAGAAATGAACATATTTACAGCCTTAATTCTCATGAAATGTGCAGGAGTTGAGATAAGTTAGGACAAGGGGTGTGGTTAATTTAGCCAATGGGTTTGTAATCCCCTCTTCAGAAGGGTGACATGGCTGAGACGACACCCATCCCAGGGTTGCTCCAAAGACACTTATTTCCTGGTCGTGTGATCAGAGATTCAGATTCTGAAAAACCAAAAAGTCTTGATGTAACTCAGAAAACAGCCTGCTTCGAGCACGATCTACTCAACACAGCTAAGAGCAGGATCGGAATTCGCTGCCAACTGATATGACATTGGTTTGCTTAGTCTGGCTAATGATAGCAGAGCAAGGTTAACGTGTATTCCCGTTTCACCAAGTCCAGCCTACATACAACTAAATCTCTGCTTTCTAGATCCAAATGCTGACAATCTGCACCATGCTACAAGATGCCATCTGTCATCTATGCTTGTTTACATCTGGTGTGAATGTGACTGGTATGAATCTCAGCTGGCAGGCGCAGAGTTAAAAAAAATATGTCCGTTCACGACAGCAATGCTCTATCTTCATTTATCTACTGTACAATATTGTCTGGTAATCAACAGCTACATTTGTCTTGGGATCTGTGTCTTATTTGAGCATGCGGTGGCATCAAGTAAGCTGCAAATCCCAGACCAAGACCAACAGCAGCCTAATTACTTTGTTGAGAAGTGTTTCATAAAAACTTGATGGGCAGCACTCGTCTGTCGGTGCAGCCTGAGGATTACAAACCCTAGAGTGGACAGCTGGCCGACAACATAAACACTCATTTAAACTCTCTTTCAAAGAGGCGATGTATACTACAACATTTAAAACAAACACCTCCGGACACACGCAGGCTTACAAACATGCCAATGATCCACTCACACCAGCACAGGAGACTCTCCCGTTTCTGTGGCAACAGACGTGGTTGTGAGGTAGTGACTCCTGTTCTGACTCAGGTAATGAGAGTGAAGGTGTTCTGAGATTGTTGGCATCCATAGTCACGCTCTCTAGTCTGCCTTTCATTTACTGCTTACTACTGGACGTTCATGTTCATAGATGACAAATTCTACTTCAGTTTCATCATTTTGTTCTAAATTCACTGAATGCTGTAACATGCGTGAAATTTTCGGAGGCAATTTAACATCTGAATAAGCTCCAAACTGTCACTAACTACCATTTATGTGCTCTGTGGTGTCCACCATCATTTTCACAACAGCTGAAGAAAAAGTGATACCGCTTCCTTACGCAAGCTGAGAGCACAAAATGAAAAGATCAATGAAAAAATAACTTCTGTCTGAAAATGGTGTTTCTTTTCCTTCCCAGCAGAGAGAGGTAACACTGGAAGAATAGCCTATCCGCCAAAAAAAAGAGGGGGAAACATGAGCCTCTATTGTAGGTGCAAGGCTGAGATATGATCCAATCAACTGTAATACTTTGAGAAATCTCCAAGACTGACAATCCCAAGAATGAAGATTTTTTTACAGCTTCAAGTAAGGCGCTGTCTTTTTCGCAGCTGTACACTGTCATTAAACTCACAGGAGGACAACACGAGCGGTTTCCTCTGTAGCCATTCATATATTCAAGAGGCATTATTTCAATGATCCAAGCAGATTGAAATGCAATTTTCAAACACTGACCATCCTCAGTTAAAGTGTGACTTCTGGTTCTTAATAATTCACCTCTGTACTCTATATTTATGGGCAAATATGTTTAAATTCAATCTCCTGCTATAATCCACAGTGAATTTGGTTTATATCAACCAGAAATCAATTTATTTAAGTGTTTCCCTTTTGGGAGCTACTCTCATTTTTTAAGACAAATCTGCATTTGTTCTTTAGGATGACACTTCAGATTCTTTACTCCTCATCCAAAAGTGACCTTGTTGTGCCTGATATGTAAGACTGGACATGAACATATGTTTCTACGTATGCTTGGGTGCTTTGGAACAAATAGATGTGTGCCTAAAACCTGCTGCCTTCTGCCTCCTTGTTATTTCCGACGGCTGTGAGGGGGCGACCTGTCAGGACTTCCTCTTAATGGAGGGACTCCACACTCACTGACATGATGCTGACTGCTGGCAGACACAACAGCGCTGCTACCTGACCACAGGACAGGATGGGAACATGACTTGGCCTACTGACAGAAATCCCCCGTGCTTAAAAATACACTTTGTAACTTGGAATTTTCTACACTCACAGGTTGTGCTCTGTGGTTTTGACTCTCTACTTGCTGCTTCCTCTTATGAAGAAAAAAAGGCTTATTGATCTATTGAGCTCAGTCACTTTCGCACTGTTGCTATATTGCATCATACTTCACTAAGAAAGATTCACGTTTTTAGACAGCATTGATGTTATGCTGTGTTTAAGCCTGTCCCAGCACTAACAACCACATGAAACTTCCAACTCAACATTTAAGGCTTGTATCACAGTTAAGTTCTTCATCTCACTTAACTCTTTCAACAGAGACATCAAGTATATTCACTCAATAACTGAGAACTTGTATTAATCCAACAAACTCTCCTCTTTGACAAAGCCCAGTTCTGAAGCTGTCAAATGATGCTTCATATAGTTCACATGCTGAACTTGGCTGACTGACATTCTGACAACTGGATCAAAAACGATAATTGAAATAAAAGAAACAAACTATATCTGGGCAGAGACACTGCTTTGACTCTCAAATACGACTGCCATATCTGACTTCAGGTAGCTTTAGCGCCCTCTGTGACAATGTTATGGACATGTGCAAAAGTGTAGATATTATCCCGAATGTAAACAAACACCAGCTGCCCCTCTGTGTCAAAATTTTACACCAATTTTGTGACAAATCATCCTCAGCACTGCTCTCTTTTTTCTTCTTGCAAGTAGAGGACTACCTGTTGAATGCACAAAGACACACTTTTGCACAGTTGTGCACACACACACACACACTCACATTACTTTAAAATACAGAGCTTCCACTCTCTCACCGAGAGCAGTAGGGCTTTTTTTTTTTAAAGTATACCAGACTGAGATGTGTGTAGTCCGAGCCGCCCTCAGCCACAAGCTCTACTGTTTTTATTCTGTGAGAACGTCCATCACATAATCAGGCCAGGACATACTTTGTAGCTGGACAGTGGGTACTAAACTGTTTGATTTGGCTCAATTTGCAGCTGATCTTCAAAAAAAGGGAAAGAAAATTCAGCCCGTTCAGTGTATTAAAGTAGTGACACCGCACATGTGGATACCTATAAAAGGAGGCTCAGCAGCAGAGTGTGGCTGACATGAATTTGAATAAATTTGGCCATAAAAGATACATACTGGGTATTTTCAGGCCAGGTGGGTGAGCCCTGCTTGTGATCTTTGAAAACACACCACTAGAAATACGTGACAATAGTTGAGTTAAAATGATAGGGGCACTCAAAAGCACATGTTTATGTGATATCTGAGGAGCGCTGTAAAACAATAATTTATCGTTTTATCCTGTACAAGAGGGGGGACTTTAATGTGATGTTTCTCCACAGTGAGTGGAGAAAGTTGCGCTTTGTTGACAGATCAGGCTCTGCTGAAACCCACAGTGCGAACCCTCACCACTGACACAGCAACGACAGCTGTTTAGGATTACACAGCCTCAGTTTTTGTCTTTAATTTTCATTGACTGGCTGACATTGATTTTCTGATTGCCTAACTTGAAGTATATCTCAGCATCTGTGTCTGTAACGCTGATAGGTGACGTGACGGGCAGGTTAATGAGTTTGTTGACTGACTTAACTTGAGCACTAGTCTGATGAGCTGACTCAGGGACTGAGCACAGCTCTATATCATTAAACTGACTGAATCATACAGTGACACCATTATACTGATGCTGCCAACAGCCTCTCCATTAAAAAAAAAATAAAATACTCTTACACCTGGGAAGGTTTACAGGCGGGCAGAACAGGCTGCTGTTCTAATGAGGAAAGGCTGATCTTAGTTTGCTGTGACCCAAAACTTTGAGAAAGAGCTAACTGAGGCGTTAAGAAGACTTATTAATGGGAGGGATTTGAAGAACATTTAACTTTTTTTGATAAGAAAAATTGAGCATTTTTGTCAGTAAAGTCAACTTCATGCTAATCATTCCTTTGATTTTTTTAGCGCCCTATAACCCACTTTGTTATCTGCCCTCGTGTCCTAGTTACACATTCATGTTCCTCCTCAAGGTTAGACTGGCCATCTATTTCTTTTTAGCATCTTTTTATTTCCTGAGTCCACAACAGCCAGCATCAGTCAGTAACCACAGACTGGCTTTGTCCGTTGTGTCCATAGCTGCTTATGCACAGCAGCTTTTACAAGAGGTGATGGGCCTAATCTGTTCTGATTAATTAACTCTGCAGCAGAGGTACAGTCGAGCAGTCTCTACATTTCAACCAGGACTGACTCATATTTTCTGTCAAAACATGCAAAGCAAGTGTCCAGTCCAACAATTCCATAGTAGAGTAGCAGTCACACGCTGGTTGCACCGATGCAGCTTGAATTGAACATTTAATTATGGAAGACAAAAATAGTCCGTAGCAGCAGGGCTGCCTGACTCAGGACTTCTAGGGTGAATCTGTCCCTGAGGGAACAACTTCCCTTGGTGCAGGTTAGAAAATTCAACTTGATTTGTTTTTAACTGTCAACTTCAAACTATTTATATCACTGACACACTGCAGACTGATTCAGGGTGTAACAGGGCAGCAGAGGTACATACTTTGATCTTGGCTGACAAAAACACGTGAAAACATGGAACTTTAACATAAACACAGTAAATGACTTTAAGCAGTAATAATGAGTGTCATGTAGACAGACACTCAGTAAAATCTTGTCTAAATGCATTACATCAACATTGATTTACATTTAACAACAAGAGTTAAATGTTAATCCACAATTGTGCTTTTAATCGGTAATATCGATAAAATGTACATTTAGTTTCTCCCACTACTTCACCGTAGGCAAGCTGTCTGAATCTGCACTTTCCACACTGAGAAGTGTGGTACTTTCTGCCTCGTGAACAAGTTCTCTGAGCTCTGCTGGATGAAACCATGCGCAGTGCCCAAAAGCGCAAGAGCCACAAATAAAATGTTCCTGGATACAAAAAAACGCCCCGCTTATCTCCATACCACAAACGCGTGGCGCGCTGAGGATGTCACAAAACCCACTGGGCTCGGTGTCCAGCGTCCGAGCCACAATCCAACCTCATCCTCTGCGCTGTTAATAAAGGTTTTACGGTCATATCATCACGATTCACTAGACAGACTCATCCACACATGAGCAGCTCCACAGCAGCCACATGCACCGAGCACCACGAGGGGAGGACCGGGCGGATATACTCCACTCCGGCTGGCCTGTCGAGCCCGAAAGCAGGTTTAACCCGTGTGTGCACGCATCCACTTACGCATCCCAAGCCGGGTGAAGGAAACCCAACCATTCCGAATAAATTGCGCGATCTTCCGCGTTTGTACACAGTTCGGGGTCGGTGCACTACTGGAGAGTGGAAGCGCACGGCGATTGTTGCCGCCCGGGTCTATGTCTATTGGTTCCTTTTCAGCTGGGGCAGCGTCAGCACACACACACACGGTCTCCATTTGCAACTCCATCGCCCCCCATGGGCGTGCGAGGCCGCGGGCTGTGACGCAAATGGCACTGGGTGATTTGCAAATGACATATCTTCCTCAATCAGTGTCGTCGCCGCGGGGATTGGTCCAATTCGCCAGATTGTACGCACACAAACATCCATCCGATGGTGGGTGACGAGTAAATAAAGGCGGATGAGCAGTTCGCTCTACGGGGATGCGGTTGCATAACTCAGGAAACTTAATAAAAATGTGCACGGAGCGAACGATGTGCAGTCTCCATGGCTGATGTTTCTTTACTGTTTCGATTTGATCACTGTGGCCTGTACACTCACATACAGTACACGACAAGTCCCCTTGTTTTGGCCACAGGAGGAACCAAGCAGAGCGTCTGCACAGGGAACTGAGTGGCCTCGCTATGGTGGATGTGTGGTGGACAGTGCTAGGACGCATGCACGTAGCTGACGGGGAGAGACAGGACAGCCGGAGTGGGACTTGGGACCGCATTCATAGGCCATAAAGGGCCCGCATGAATACTATTGTGCTCTTTTATCCAAGAGTCCCCAACTATTTACAAAAGGTTGGCCAACACACACAGAAATATCGCGGCGAAATGGTGGCGGCGGTTACAGCAGCTGCCACTGTGCTCTGCGCAAAGCAGTAGCACAATCATTGCGCAGCGCCGGACTTCCCCACTTTCGTGCAAACTATGTGATTCGCCCAAAAGACTTTTATTTTTATCTCATTCAGACTCTCCTCGTCTGGCAAGCAGCGAACCAGAGCGCAGAGCACTCGCCGTTCTCATGGCACGATTTGCATCGCCCCCATTATCCCTGAAAATCTCCTTTTACACGGTTATATTGTCAGCCTAAAAACGCCACTATTTTGAGTAACAAAGGGGCAGCTTGACATGATCAAAGGAAAAGCTAAGTACGAAATGCACCTTTTAAGCCGTTTAGAGAGGCCCCTTGTAACGATTGCAGCATGGCAGGGGAGTGCGGCGTAAAAACGAGCTAACCCGAATAAAATACACACAAAGACAAGGTGCAATACCGCCATTAATACGTCCATCACCACCCTGGTAACAACACTAAACCATCCGCGGTCATTAGTGCTAGCTTGGGGTCGGTTAGGATGGCATTATTGAGAATGAAAATCGCTGCGTTTTGCGGCTCCGTGCCACCTTTTCCAAGAAGCAGCTTGGCGCACAGGACCGGTGACCCTTCCATCTTTGCGCGTCCTTCTACCGAGCGAAACCAGGAACTATCTCACGATTTGACGGTTTAATATGAAATATAACACGTTGTAGTTGATAATTTCACATTCGATGGGGTTAACGTTGCATCTAGAGGCAGCTACAACTCTCTGAAACTATTCCTCTCCCCATCGCGGCTAGGCAGAAACAAGAGGGCGATGACGCCATTTTCTGCAAAAACAACCATGCTCGGGAAGCCAAAGCGAAGGAGGTTTAACCCGCTCCGGAGCCCTCCACTCCCGCTGAAACGAATAAAAAACAAGTCCTTACCTTGTATTTGTTGGATTGGTGGTTGAATTGTGTGTTTGGAGGGGTAAAACTGCGCGGCTGAGGCCACTTCGAGTCCGGAGATTGTTTATTTCGCTTCCCAGCGTCCCCGGTTCACTCTGAACAAGTTGGTCTGCGAGCTGTCTTTGTGCACCCAGAGGAGCCTCTCAGCATTAACCAGTCTCTGCGCAAAGGTGCACCCTCTACGTCCAATTTCAGCTGGAGATGCAGGGACTTTGGGGCAACGATTAGAGAAATAACACGATTTAACTTTTCACAAATAATAAAAGTTGAATAACTTGACAATTTTAACCACAGACTTGTGCTGTGAGTCGTTTTTATGCCCCAAAACGCGCAACCTTTTGAGGATCCAGCGCTCCACAAGAGTCCACGACGCAAACGCAAACAAAACAGGGGAGTACATAACCCCCTAAAAAATGAGACTTAGAAGATTTTAGAAATACTTTCTTACTCAATTTTAATACCGTCTGAGTCATTCGCCTAAGTCACAAAAAGGAAGACATCACCAAAAGTGATCATGTGGCAAAAACTGGGATTTAGATTTCGAAATACAACAAATATTAAGCAAAGTAACGTTTTCGATGCACGATGCAAACGTTACATTACATTTGGTGGGTTTTCTCAGACTTCAAGAAACAAAACCTGAAAGTTTTAGGCCTGTTTCATATCTACATTCATTCAGGGTGACAAAAAAACTAGATTTTGCTTTTCACTTACTAGACTGAGCAACCAAAAACACGGATAAAGGGGTTGAAAAACTGCCCATCTATAATTATTGTCTCAATACAACCATGGATGAAGTGGTGATCAGTGTACCATCAATGAAGATTATAGTGGTTCAAATTATACTGTCAAAATATAAAAACCCCTGGAACTCTTATTATGATAAATAATTCCAATAGAAGTAGCTCAAATTCAGTCAAAAACGGCATATTTAGCTTTAGGCAAATAATTATTGACTACCTGTTTCAGGGTGTGCTCTGTTGTAAATCTACTCCAAACCAAGGGCTCACAGATTCCCTGCAAACAAACAAACAAAAACACATTTTACCAACATTATACGTTCTCATCTGTTGGTTTTTCAAGATTAGTGATTAACAAGTTGACACTTGACCCACAAAAAAAGGAGTTTAATTTGGTCTAACTTACAGGCTAACCGCACAATTAACGGTTCTGGACACGTTAGCCAAGCCAAGCCAAGTTTCGCATTACTGGTAGTGTTAGCTAAGATAAATATGACTTGTAACTGTTGAGAATCACTGAAGTATCCAAAAAAATATCACATTTGCTACTTTCAACGTGCTTTTAAACAACCCATGAAAACAACTCATGAAAGAGTATCTTAAGATACTCTTTAATAAGTTGTTTTCACTGACATTCAGTTAAGTCACAATTGAACAAAATAATTTTGTTCAATTGTGACTTAACTGAATGTCAGTTGAGGAATAACTGTCGATACATACAGTTTCTTAACAAACCTAGCTAGCTTGACTGCAAAAGCTACATCTGCGCAGTTATGAACGTTAAGTCAAAATATAAAGGCAGATTCAACATAGTCCCCAAAATCCAAAGAAAACAATAATTTAGGGTAGAAAGCTATTATTTCAAAGAAATACAAAGCTAGAAAAGATTTACCTAGTCTTCGGGATGTTTGGCAGACACCTGTTTGCTCGGGTTATGACCTTGTCAGCTCAAAAATGAATAAAATTTGCCCAATTTTTTTTTAATCATTAACGCTAAACTTTTTGAAAAATTACATTAAGTCGTTAGATTCACCAAGCTTCAAACCAAAGAAGACGTGAAGCTAACATTTCAGCCTAACTGTTTACTGTGATGAGTCAAAGTTATCTCGGTATACTGAGTTAATGAGATGCAGCTGGAGCAGATATTATCCATAATGAACTGATGCTGCTGGTGAGCTGATGCAGGTGGGCCTAAGTATAGGTTAGATTCATGTTCTTGGAAGTTTTACAGGTGTTGCTGTTATGAAAGGCATGCAGGGTGTAGGTTTGTATTTCTAAATCTATGACTTTGGAAGATGAGTGACTTTTTTTTAAACTGTTGAGCAACATGGAGAAAAAGTTAAGTGTGGTGACTGGAGAAAATTTTGTCTTTATGGAGTAGAAAATGTGGATAAAACTAAGTATAAAGTATAACTTCCACAACTTTATCAATGTATTATCAAGCCTACTTTTGAATCACCATGTTAAGACTGCTGTCAAGAAGCAACCACCCCTGCATTTGCTTTAAGCTTGTGATTTTATTATGCAAAATTTTGCTCTACTTTTGTGTTTTATCATTAGTTTTTCCTAAAATAACTCTAATATTGTGTTTTTATAAGCTTGTACAACACTTGGGATAGTTGCAGTTGCTTGAAATATGCATATGCAATAAATAAACTTTTAGGTGCAAGGTGTTAGTTATGGCTATGCTCAAACCTGTTACCAAAAAAACACAACAGAGAAATGTCACCATAAAAAGTATTGTATACTGATGAAACAACGAATAAGTATTAACTGGAATAGTTTTTAAGAAGCAATAGTTGACTGCTTTAACAAAACGAATGTAACCTTGGACTGTAAACATACTATGCCCACTCAGAAACAGAAAAATCTAGTTAAATATGCATGCTTGTATAGTCTACTGTAATTTTAGACTCAAATGGATCAGGATCAAGTATTTCTATTGAAACACAAACTGAAGCATGATAGAACAATCACCTGTGGTTTGACAGAAACATCACTTTCTGCATGAAAAAGGCTGATTTCTTTTTAAACTTCCTCTGTACATCTAAAAGGACTTTTTTAGTGTCTCTGAAGTACCAGTAAGCTTTTATTTCATGTTTTCCTACTTGTTTTGTGGACTTGACAATAGTAAATCAGGACAACAAGGCGTCATCAGCTGTTTACAAGATCATTAACGGGATCTGTGTTAAGATGTTGTCAAACCAGCCAATGAGAAAACCCAACCTGGTGACACATTTTAATGAGAAAATTGGATCAGCTAAGTAGCTCAATGATGCAAAATGTAAACACAGTAGATACCCCCATTAAGCTGTAATTGGAACCCTGCAGTTAGAGATGGAGTTAGAGTATGCAAGACTGGGTAAGAAAAGTGTCTGACTGAAATTCGGACAAATAAACAAAATGATGTTTTACACCTCTTGTAGGTGATCTCCTCTTAAAAACACACTCTATTACAGCAGTAGTTGACAAATAATCCAAACAAGTAACATGATAGAAAAGTGCCTCACTTATCCAAACATCTAACAAAAATGTCAAATTGAGCAATGAAAAACACACATTTCATTTAAGTGGACGTTTGGGGGAATTTGAGAAGTTCTATGAGATTTATAATCCCTGCCAGCTCTTTCCTTTAGGCTCATGAAAGCTTTCAACAAAAGGTGCCCACCACTTTTGCCTATACACAATTAACTAAAGCACCAGCATTATTCCATTATCATAAGAATGCTGTTTGCCAT